GATGCCTATGATCCCAAAGAGTGGTTCATCGAGAAAGGCTAAAGAAGCCGCTGCAGCCGCAGCTCAAGCGGCTGCTGCTGCTAGTGCAGCTTCATCAGCTAGTGTCCAAGTTCGTATTCTCTTGGATGATGGTACCTCAAACATTCTAATGAGATCTGTAGGAGGTCGCTCTGAACCGGTATGCGTCTTTTACATCAATTTTCATTCTGTAATCTTTTTTTTTATGGTTTCCTAGCCATCTTCGATATTCAATTTATTTTTTTTCATTTACATCAGACCCTCATCACGTACAAATCCGTTAATTAAACTCTAGTTATGCTTCTAAGAATTTCTGTGCTTTAGTTTGCATCGAAGATTTTGAAAATATACAAATTCAAACATAGAATCCAGTAGTTTAGTAAATTTACGTTCAACCAAATGGAATCGAGTAGTTGCTGAACATTAGAATCGTACGTATAGAGAAATCGACCTGACTTCAAGTGGTGGTATATTTTTTCTTAGTTTTGAAAACTTATCAAAGGCAGAATGTCACTGCTTGACTACTAAGTTAAGCAACAAACTTATGCTTCAAAAATTGTCCTTGCAGGTCATTGGTCTACATGGTGGTGCTCTACTTGGTATAGGCTATCGCACGTCCCGAAGGATTAGTCCTGTTGCTGCAACAGCTATTTCAACCATTCAGTCGATGCCGCTCTCGGGATTTGGAAACAGCAATGTTTCTTCCTTCTCAAGCTATGATGATGGGTTTTCGTCGCAGAAGTCTGCTGAGTCTGCACCTCTGAATTACCAGCTCTACAGGTGATTAGGGTCTCGGTTTTTTTTTCCAGAATCCAAGGGTCATTTCTGTTAAAATTTTTTGTTATTCTCAGTTATATTGACATAATCAGAATCTCTGAGATGTCTGGTAAAATAGTTACTATGGTTTGCTGGAATGATAAGCAGTGTTCACCTGTAATCTATACCGATCCCCATAGTTACATTTTGGATGCTGTACTTTGTGTTACTTTGTCGTGGTAAAAGTAATTCAGTTACTTATTAATCTAAGTGGAAGTTTCAATTTGTAGTTGGGAAAATTTTGAGCCAGTAGGTGGTATGCTACCTCAACCAGAATGGACAGCATGGGACCAAACAGTTGAGTATTGTGCATTTGCTTATCAACACTACATGGTCATATCGTCCTTGCGCCCTCAGTATAGATATCTTGGTGATGTTGCCATTGCACATGCTACTGGAGCTGTTTGGCATCGCAGGCAGCTATTTGTGGCTACACCAACCACGATTGAGTAAGATTGTATCTCTATATATGATAAGGATTTTTCCTCTATTTTATGTCAATTACCTTGATTCCTGCTTCCACTTGGATAAGACAACCTAAAAATCGAATTTAAGAAGTGACTTGCGACTAATGTGTATCAACAGTTATTGATGATCCAGATGGTGGATTAAATCAACAGTGCAAAGATTATTATTACCTATTGAAAAATAATTTATTTGATTCTGACTTCATTAAGGACATGGCTACCTGATTCTGTTACTTTCGAAAACAAACTATCTGGGGAGTAACTAATACTTCTTCCATGCCTGGATTTCCAGATGTGTTTTTGTGGACGCGGGAGTTTCTGAAATTGATTTAGAGACAAGGAAGATGAAGGAAGAAATGAAACTTAAGGAAGCCCAGGCTAGAGCAGTTGCAGAGCATGGAGAGTTAGCCTTAATCACAGTAGAAGGTTCCCAGGCTGCAAAGCAAGAAAGGATATCTTTAAGGCCCCCCATGCTGCAGGTGGATATTTCTTGCTTTTTGCATGGGATATATGTAATTATAAGAAGCTTTATTTTTATTTTCAGGTCTAAGCTTGTTTTCTTGTACTGCTTCTATGTCAATCCTTGTCAAAGTAATAAGTCTTCCTCATGAGTATACTTTTTAATTGTAGGTGGTGCGTTTAGCGTCTTTCCAAAATGCTGCATCTGTTCCACCATTCATATCAGTGCCAAGACAATCTAGAGGTGATGGCGATGACATTGTGGATGAAAGGAGGACCAGTGAGGTAGCTGTAGGTGGTGGGGGAGTCTCAGTGGCTGTTACTCGTTTCCCAGTGGAGCAAAAACGACCAGTGGGGCCTCTTGTTGTAGCTGGTGTACGAGATGGAGTTCTTTGGCTCATTGACAGGTACAAAGAGTCTTCTGTTCTTACCTGCAGACAGACTGTCTCTTGTTAAAACATTCCTTGTTGGATGCAGACTGTGAATTGGTGAATTGTTTATATTCGTTGGAGCCTTTATATACTCAGTTAGATTATGAATTTTCCTTTTCATTCTTAGTACGCTCTAGGTAGGCTCATTGACATCTCTGACCTTTTGCAATTAAAGGCTTCCCAGATTTTACCATGCTTCCACATTTAATATTTTGAATACTATATCTTGCCATATCGCCATTCTAGTCACTTGAATGATTATATAAATTTTACACCTTTGTCTGACACCCCCATTTTGATGGTAGGTACATGTGTGCACATGCCATATCACTGAATCATCCTGGTATCCGCTGTCGCTGCCTTGCTGCTTATGGGGATGCTGTTAGTGCTGTTAAATGGTATGAATATGTTTCTCATAATCTTGTGTTAACGTGTGTAGGAAAGTAGCTGGAATGCTAAATTAACATTTTTGTTGCACAGGGCAAGTAGGCTTGGGAGAGAGCACCATGACGATCTGGCACAATTTATGCTGGGGATGGGATACGCGACAGAAGCGCTTCATTTGCCTGGTATATCTAAGAGGTAATTAAGCATGTACCTTTTTGGTGCCGCGATAATTTGGTTCTTACGATGCACAGTTTCCTCTAGTCTCTGAATTGTTTATGCTGGACAGTAGACATAATTAGGTGTTCCACGTATGTATTAAATCCATCATCCTAGCTGTCAACTCATACCAAAATGCCATCAATGATTATTTTCACATTGCCTTAGGTTCGGAGTTTGACTTAGCTTTATGTTTTCTCAGGCTGGAGTTTGATCTAGCAATGCAGAGCAATGATCTTAAGAGGGCTCTTCATTGTCTTCTTACAATGAGTAACAGCAAGGACATTGGACAGGATGGTGTAGGCCTTGATCTGAGTGACATTCTCTCTTTGACAGCTACTAAAAAGGAAGATGTTGTCGAAGCTGTGGAGGGAATTGTGAAATTTGCAAAGGAGTTTCTTGACCTTATAGATGCTGCAGATGCCACTGGGCACGCCGACATTGCTCGCGAAGCTCTAAAAAGACTGGCAACTGCAGGTTCGGTCAAAGGCGCTTTACAGGGCCATGAATTGCGAGGCCTTGCATTACGCCTGGCAAACCATGGAGAATTGACACGCCTAAGTGTATGTCTGCAACTTCTCTTTCTTTCAGTTTTGGAATTGGTTTATGGCATATTTTTTTTAATCTGCAAGCCCCTAATCGAAAGACTATTTTAACATTGTTTCAGGGTCTGATAAACAATCTGATCTCCATAGGCCTCGGGAGAGAATCAGCATTCTCTGCTGCAGTTTTGGGAGACAATGCTCTCATGGAGAAGGCGTGGCAAGACACGGGAATGCTCGCAGAAGCCGTGCTTCATGCCCATGTAAGATTTCATTTTATTTACCTTTTTAGTTTATAAATAAACTTTGTATTGTTGTTGACTTCGCAACTGTAATTTATTCACACAGGCACATGGTCGTCCTACTCTAAAGAACTTGGTCCAGGCTTGGAATAAAACGCTGCAGAAGGAAGTTGAGCAAGCTCCATCTTCTAAAACCGATGCAGCTAGTGCATTTCTGGCTTCACTCGAGGATCCAAAGCTCACGAGTTTATCTGATGCATCCAAAAAACCTCCAATCGAGATTCTACCTCCTGGAATGTCTTCAATCTTCGCTTCCATTTCTGCTCCCAAAAAACCTTTACTCACACAGAAAACTTCACAGCAAGAGCCAACTAAGCCATTGGCGCTCGAAGAACCGGCTAAGCCATTGGCTATTGAAGCTCCTCCATCTTCTGAGCCAGCACAGACCGAATCAGCACCTGAAACTGCTGCAGTTGCTGAGTCACCCGCACCTGAAACTGAAGGCGTTGCTGATTCAGCGGAACCTGAAACTGCAGCGATTGCTGAGTCACCAGCACCTGTGGATGAACCAGTGACAGAGACAGTGTCTGAGCCTTCTCCCGTAGAAAAGGAGGAAACTTCTTTAGAAGAAAAAAGCGATCCATCTTCAACTCCAACCATAGAAACAGCTGCACCCACAGAAGATACTAGCCAAACAACGCCACCCCCTGAATCTGTTACAACAACACCACCTGAAACGACTACAACAACACCGCCTGAAACTACTACAACGACAGCAAAACCAATAGAGAATGCAGCAACTGAGAGGCGAGCAGTAACTAGTTATCCTCCAATAAGAAGTCAGCCAATAGACTTTGATTTCTTGAATGGCTAAACCAAAGTTTGCACAGAAGATCCCTAAACGAAGACAGCAGAGTGTATTCATAATCAAAGCTTTGTGACCAAAATTGACTAGAGGAAGCGGAGGATGCCTTCATGATTATTCACAATTGAGTTTGATGTGTTTAGTTCTTTCTTTTTTCTTCTTCTTTTTTTTTTGTATTGTGTCGTTTTTTTTTTTTTTTATATAAATATCATTTATTGACATTATTAAATGGTTTGTATTATTATTATCAAACAAACCTCTCCGAGGTTATCTGTGAAGCGTGTAAAACAGTTACAGGAGAATTTATTAGTATCAAAATGTTTGTTTTCACCAAATCGATAGGAATGGATCTAATTTTCCATTTGCCACATGACAACAACCGAACCATGGAACTTCGAATTGGACGTATTCGTAGATGCTACAACAAATGTTTTAGATCTGGCTCTTCACGACCGACTTGTGAGACCTCGTTGTCAAGTGTATAACAAAACCGACTTGAAAGCCTCTGTACCATTTAGAAGTATTAAGCTTGAGTTGGTGCAAAAGGAGAAAAGCGAGAGATTGGGTTGTTGCTTCTGTAATCGTCTGATTGGCGATAAATCCTCTCTTCTTTCTCATCTCTGTCTTCCTCTCTTTCTCTCTCTCTCTCTCAGCCCTAAGAGAGAAGCAAAAGGCTCTGCGCCTTTTCTTCAAGAATTCACCAGAAAAAGTTTGAATCTTTAACAGAATTAAAGGTTATCCTGGAAAGCTATGTCGCATATGGTGTTTCAGAGCGCCGTCGCTCCCAAACCCTTATCTCCTCTCAAACCCTGTTTACCTATCCCTCGTCCACTAGCCACTCTGCCTTGTAAGCTCCGTCGTGGCTTCGTTAGGGCGTCCTCCTCTTTTCTTGTCGATGATTCAGTTTCGGGTCTCGAGCGCTGCTTACAATTGCCTTCGGGAGTTGAGTTAGGCCCATCTTCCTCTGCTTCTTTCTCTGCAAGTACTCAGATGTCTCCTGTGATGAAAGGGAAGTTTGGTTCGGTAGGAGCTGTAACTTTGGAAAAGGGGAAGCTTGATATGACCCAGAAGATATCTGAGACCAGCCCTGAGGTCTCCTCTCTCCTCCTCTCGATTCTTTCTGGTTAATAGTTAATTTGGTGAATTGCAAGAATTTGGATTAGTTTGGTGAAATTCTCTCTAAAGACTCTGCCTTTTATCTATGGTTTTGCTAAATGAGCATGACGTTGCTTGTTTTATCCTCTCTGTTCTTAATTTTTGGATGGTTCATCAAGTTGGTGGTAGTGAGAGTGGCGATTTAATCATTTTTCTTAGAGGTTCAGAATTTGTTAGGAACTATGAGTGTCACTCGACTCAGTCTTTACTAGTGATTGTGAACTAGATTTTGGTCCTGCTTCTATGTTCGATGTAAAGGTAACTTGATTCTGAATCAGACACTACTTGATTTTAATCCTGATAAGTTGATCATTTATTTAGTATGAAGAAAAATCTTAGTTCCTTGGAAAGATAACTGTTTGTAGTGAATCTAATTTCAGCCGATCAGAAAAGAGTAGCTTTGTAAATTTCTATATCATATTTCATTACAGATTGCAACTGGAGGAGGTGGTGGAAACATTGGAAAGAGTATCAATAACGGTGGTGGCGATGGAGGAGACGATAATGGTGATGATGATGATTACTTTGATGAATTTGATGATGGTGATGAGGGAGATGATGATGGACTTTTTAGGCGTAGGATGTTCCTTGCAGAGGTATGAGAACTATACTCTTGTGTTTTTTTTGGTATTTTTCATATATTTGATTGTCATAGTGTCACGGAGTAATGAAATTTTATGTTATGGTCCAGCTTTTTGATAGAAAATTTGTTGATGCTGTTTTGAACGAATGGCAAAAAACAATGATGGATTTGCCTGCTGGTCTCCGTCAAGCATATGAAATGGTGAGATATCCTTAAAGATTTATGTTATCATGAAATGGTCATTTTGGGATGCTGACTTACTTGAACTTGCGGAAACTTGTGTCCAGGGTTTGGTCAGCTCAGCACAAATGGTGAAATTCCTTGCCATAAATGCCCGTCCTACAACAACTAGAATGATCTCCCGTGCTCTTCCTCAGGGATTGTCGAGGGCCTTTGTTGGCAGGTAATTTTTTTGGTTTCATCTGTGATCCATCTGTACATGTGGACTTCATTGTCTCTAAATTATAAGTTTCTAAATTGTCATACTATGTGCAGTCTTGACTAAGTGACTGTCTTGTGTAGGATGTTGGCGGATCCTGCATTTCTCTATAAACTTCTTTTGGAGCAAGCTGCTACGGTTGGATGCTCAGTTTGGTGGGAGGTGAAGAATCGGAAGAATAGGTATTTTCCTTTCCACGTACCCAAACTTTTAAGGTTTTGTTGCTTCTGGTTTCTTGTCCTAAATTGTATTCTCTATGATTTGCAGAATAAAAGAGGAATGGGATCTTGCACTTATAAATGTTCTTACTGTATCAGCATGCAATGCAGCTGCTGTTTGGTTGCTTGCTCCATGTCGTTCCTATGGAAACACATTCCGGTTTGACCTGCAAAATACACTACAAAAGCTACCAAATAATTTGTTTGAAATGAGCTATCCTCTTAGAGAGTTCGACTTGCAAAAGAGATTTCATTCTCTTTTCTACAAGGCCGCAGAATTGTCCATTCTTGGACTTGCAACAGGAACTCTCCAGGGTTCCTTGTCAAACTTTCTGGCAGGAAAGAAGAAGAACAGGTCATCATATATCTTCTGTTTCTATCCTTGGATTACAAATGCCTTGTTTCACTCTTGCACGTCTCTATTTTTTTTACCAGCTCTTGCTTGAGTTATAACTTATTGTACATTTGTTCTGACAGAGTATCTGTGACGGTACCATCTATCAGCACGAATGCTCTTGGTTATGGTGCATTTCTTGGAATATATGCAAACTTGAGATATCAGCTGTTATGTGGATTTGAAAGATCGGTGAGCAGCCACTTTGATGTCATAGGAGTGGCACTCTTCTTTAGCACTGCCTTGAGGTATTCCTCTATTTCACCCACTTTCCTCTCCCACATATGTACATAACATACATAAACAAAACATGTCAGCAGTTTGGATTTTGTATTGGAAAACCTCTGTCTTAGGACTTGGAAACCTGTAATCTGTGGATCAGAGCGTTGATGAATATGAATGGATCTGGTACAGGATTATGAACGTTCAATTAGGGGAAAAGTCAAGACAAGTATGGCTAGGTGTGGAGGCAGACCCACTGACGCAATCTGATGATCTGCTTGCAAAAGCATACAACCGACCCTCAGAGGAAGCAGCAAAGCCATCTTCAAGATGGTTTATCTCAAAGAATGCAATTATCTCAGGGCTACTCGGGAAGAAACAAGAAGACTCAGTTTCAGATCCTCCAAAGGCTCGACGAAAAAGGATTGTGAGGAAGAAGGTGGCTGCATCTGCCTCTTAGATAACCAATAAAACCTCTTAAATTTCGCAATATTCAGAGTCCATGAAAGAGCAACAGTGAGGTTATGTTGTTCATTTGAGGCGCACATGAAAAGTTTTGTTGCCAGAGGAAGAAGGGTCACCAAACTGGGGGAATTGGGAAAGCTATATAGCCTTTTATTCTTCATGACTCAAATCTCTCAAATTTTAAGTGCTTTTGGGGAAAAGACATTTCTATTTTTTTTTAAGGTGTGGTGATATGCTATCTCTGGTTAAATCTCAAATTGCCACTATGTATTTTCACCTTTATAATACCTTTCTCAATGCTTTTTAATAAATAGCCACATCTTTCATGTTCGTAGTGCTTTTCAGTTTACACAATACTGCAAAGTTGGTATATAATATGGTGTTCAAGTAACCTTTGTATGTATAATGAAATTTTATTTCGTCCGGTCATATTTTAATTTTGTCCGGTCATATTTTTTCTGAGCAAAATATTGAATGAGCAATAGTTTTATTCTTGTAGATAAACAAGATCCTGGAGAATAAAACTGCAAAATATATAAATTGACAATGTTATATGAGCTTTTCCTTAGCACATTACAAAAAGTTGCATATGATACAGAAGTATACGATGCAATTAATCTAAGAAACTCCACGAACCATTCTTCAATGGTTAAGGCGACCATTAGAATTCAACAAAGTGGCTATCAATGGTCTTGAGCTTCTCCAACTCCTCTCTATCAGCGATTCCAGTATCAACGTACAACATCTGTATGTATATGATAACAATATTTCCCAATCACACTTAGACAAAATTCACTCAAATTTATTCCGAATAACAAAAAAAAAAAAAAAACATATGGTGGATATCAGAGTTCGACGCTGAGACCTGATACTCGGGACACTTCAATGTGTGAGCTCCTCTTTTAAGATATCCTTCCCATCCTTTCTTCTCTACAAGTGCTTTCTCTATAGCTTTAGTAAACTGCATCCACATTCAAGTCTCACCTTCATTAATCACATTTGGCGATACACAGTTTCCTATTTATCAAAAAACAGTATACTCACATCAGCTGAGTCCAAAACCAAGAGATTGTACTGAGGAGTAAATGTAGTTCCTTGCAACCGTCTCTGAATCCCAACAATTGTCCTTGAGTGTCCTTCATGTTGGAAATACAACGGCCTGCAGTACACACCATAACATTGACGAACCTCATATGTAATGTGTTTTGAAGTTATAAAAGATAATTACAAGAACAAGAACTGAAACAGAACCACTTACCCTTTGTTTGTCATATGAACACCAGAGGAAACATTTAACCTATTATCTGAGAAGTAATTCCAAACCCAATTCATCAAAACCGCTCCTTTGGTGATCCTAGAAGAATTAGAACCATGAGAGTCAACTGATTTTCCTGTCCCACTTCCGCCCGTTTTAACCACATATCTGTCCATGGGACCATGTGACTTTACCTTGGGAGCAATAGCAGAACCAGGAACAGAAAGATACATCGATTTCGATTTCTCGGGAGCAAAATCAACAATCCTAGCTCTTAACCCGAAAGAGCGTAACAACGCAGCACATTCAGTAGTTCCAATCCATCTCTTTGAACCGTAGATTTGAGTTTTAAAATGGAGAGCTCCAGAGGCATCAAAACCCTTGTTCCAGGCCAACTCGAGCCACCGCTGGAGCGAAGGAATATCAGGAACAAAGTCAGAGCCACCAAAGAGAACTCTTTTAGCTTCTTCTCTATGAGAAATCAAATGAGAGCATTGCATCTGAATGTTCTTCCATCCACATCCCCAACCTTTATCCTCCTTTGAGGATTGAAAATGATCAACAAAGCCACATAGTAAACTAGTACTACACTCTAAAGGTTTCGACTTCGATTTAAGTTCTGATTCCAAACAGTTTCTCAGCAAACCAATCAAACCACCATGACCAACACTATAGAATTGACTCTTGGTCTGAGAATGAACCAAAGAGGCAACACTATTGTGCAAACCTAAGGAATCATCAAAGTTCTGCAAAAAGGAAACAACTTTATCAATTGGGTCTTTCTTTACGCAACCTAACGCAGAAGGGTTCTAAGAAAGCATTACAGATGATGACGAAGGATGATCAGAAGAAGAAGAAGAGGCGAGTTGAACAGCCAAGTAGTGATCGCTATCGATTTGAGAATCTGTTTCGTCGTCTTCGAAGTGGGAATTCACATGACTGAGTCAAATCCTCCGCCATAACCCAGAGAGACACATCAAGACCTCTATTGATGCCAACTAAAGAGAGCATATAGAAACAGAGAAAAAAGTAGGGTCTGTTTGTATTACCTTTGGATTAAGGAGGAGGAAAGCGTAAGGTTGCAGACAGGACACAAAGCTGACATCTTTTTCTGTTCCTCCTCTGTTTTGTTTTCTCGCCGGAGGAAATTAGACAGACACAGATTGTTGAGATCCTCAGACGTTGATCGAAACGGCGGCGTTTTATTTGGAGTGCGTGAGGCCGTGTCCGTGAGGGTGCATTAACTATCACTAATTAATTCTCTTTTTGGACTTTAAGTCTTAATTATTAAATTTTCCACAATTATTAAGTTAATTCTTGACTTAATTATTTTAAGAAAATTTCCTTGGATACCACATTATTCGGTTTTTCCAAAAATACTACAGTTTTTTTAAAACAAAATACCACAACAATTATTTTTTTTCAAAAATACCGTAAAACATTAGAAATTGAGTTTTGAAGGTGTAATTTTTGTAATTTTTGTAATGTTTGGAGTAAAGTTTAGTATTTAGGAATTAGAAATTATTTTTGAATGCTAAAAGAAATATTTTTAGTTTTGTGGTATTTTGGAAAAAAAAATGTATTTTAGTGGTATTTTTGGAATAAACATCATAATATGTAGTATTTTAGAAAAAAAAATACTCACTTTAGTGGTATTTATTTTATGTGTTAAAAATAATATAAAACTGAAATTGAGATGAAGTGAGAAAACAATCTTACAAAAATATTTTTAAAAAGTTAGAGATAATATCTCTCTAAACACCTAAACACCTAAACGGCTAAACCCTTACCCTAATAATGCATGCTAATATAAATAATGTAAACGAGATAAAATGAGAAAACATTGATGTAGTTTCTCAATTCTCACACGTAGAAAAAGATGTTCGGACGACTTTTGTTAGTTATCAGCTCAATATCTGTTGCGTCCTATGCGATATCCATACTAACACAACAAACATCGCTACGATTTATAAAGAAAACAGCCAAACGTCGTCGTCGTCATCAGATAATTAAAGGTGAAGACAAGATCAGTGCGTTACCGGACGATTTGCTCGTGCATATATTGTTGCGTCTCTACACAAAGGATGTACTGGCCACTATGATTTTGTCAAAACGATGGCAGTATGTTTGGACAATGGTGCCAAGACTAGGGTACACAAACATCAATGACGATGATACTAATAACAGTTTATTTGGTCGTTTACTTGGTCGTTTCTTTCACAAAAGTGAACATCAACAACGATGTTTATGGCGGTTTATCGACAAGTCGTTACAACTCCACAAGGGACCTTTATTAACATTAGTGATAGAACTGATCGGCCCTTCTAGATGTCATGTTGATGTAGGAAAGTGGATTGCAAATGCTGTTGATCGTAGGGTTTGCGAGCTACTGTTGAGAATCACGTGGACGTCCTTGGAACCTGCCAATTTGTGTAAGAGCCTTTACACATGCGATACGCTTGTTAAACTACATCTTTCCGACAAGATTATTGTGGATGTTCCTTCTCGGGTTAGCCTCCCATCCCTCAAAAGAATTGTTCTTTCTAGGCTTTGGTCGAACTGTCCTATTCTCAAAAGTGTGTCTGTGGATAGACATCCCCATGACAACGTGAGAAATTTCAATATAAAAGCCCCATCTCTGGAAAGCTTGTTATATTATAATCTTTATCATGTAGTAGTGCACAATGAAGGAATATGGGGATCTTTGGTTATAGATTCTCCGGCTTTAAGAGAATTTTTCTACCGTGATTTTTCGGGAGATTCTTGCTCGATTGAGAACAAGCCTTGTTTTCATAAAGCAAGTATCGACTTTGATAGTTACCCTGATGACAAGTTTATGAGATCTCTTTCCTCAGTCATGTATCTCGAACTAGATTTAAGTGGTGCAACGGTGTGTATAGAGTTGTTTCAACCTCACTCTTTTTCTTATTTGTTAATTACGATTACAATAAACTAACGCTTATCTATGTGTATGTTCGTTCTTGACTTCATTGTAGGCTGCATGGTGTAACGCTATCAACTTCCCCAAGCTAGTGAAGTGTGCTCTAACACTTTTAATTGACTTAGACTGGTTGGAATTACTAATGGGATTGCTACAAAATTCCCCTAATCTTAAAGCTCTTTTCATCTACCAGGTTCATAGTTAGTTTCTTTCATGTCTGTGGTTAGACATATGGACTAATAAAAAGCAAGTGTTCACTTTATGTTCGGTCCTTTTTTTTTTTTTTTTTTTTTGATAAACCCTATCGGCTGATCCGGTCAGCCTCGGTAGAAATGCTCTGAACTGCTTCAGAGTGGACTTCTCCCCAAAGGGCCACGACACTGTCTATCCCGAGTTTGTAATGCTTTCCGACTAATGCCAGGGGTAGTCAGGCCGCCTGCATTTCTGACTACCAGGTAAACCAATTGGGCCAAGCCCCAACTGACAGACTTCCCACACAACAATGATTTTTGTTTTCAGGGTGGATCGAACCTGGGTTAGTTCCTTCCAACCTTTCCCCAATTCTCCCTTACCACTGGACCACTGCTGTGCGGGCATGTTTGGTCCTTTTGGTGTTGGTTCACAGACATTGATTCGTCTTGAAGAGGACTTCTAACTGTCATGAGTTCCGTTCCCGGTTGTTTCTCGAGCCATCTCGAAATCTTCGAGTGGACAGGATATATAGGACGATCCAAGGAGAAAGAAACCATAACATATATCTTTGCCAACTATAAGTGTTTAAAGAGAGCTCATTTTTCTATGAAATCAACCTGCAAGGATATAGATAGAGAGAAGATGATGAAAGAGTTAAAATCTATGTGTAGGGTTTCCACTTCATCCCAACTACTCTTCTCCACTTGGAATTTCCGAGCTTTGTAAGTGAAATTTGTTTAGTGTGACTAAAATATATCATAGATAATATACTTACGTGCGATTGTCGTATAATTGTTTTAGTTAATTAGAGAGATCTAGATAGAGGATAGCTTTCTTGATTTTTCGAAGATTTAAAACAGAATATCTGTCAAATTTCTTTTATTAATTAGGATAATCGTTACAAAGTTGTTGGGCAAGCTACTTAGAAAAACTTTTCTTAACAAAATTTTAGGTTAAGAGCCCTTCAATAAACAAGGTCTCATGTGGAGTTACAGAAGTACTAATACATCCAAAATTTTGTATGAAGTAAAACTTTGAAAAAGCGAATTGAAATCGTTAAATGTATATTTTGGGAGCTATAAGAAAAATTGCTTTTGTGACCCATGAAATTGTCAAAAATCAGTTGTTAAATACTTTTTACGATGGTTTTTTTTAGACGATGAAGAATTGTCACAAATTTGTTGACGCTTATTGTCATTGGCCACATATGGATCACAAATGTGAAACGATTTTGTGACTATTTTCAGTAGTCCTAGATCAGCAACTAACTAGAAGCATTATATACTAGGATCCAAAATTTAAGACCAATACGAGACCAGTATGCAACGTTGTACAGTCGGACTAATTTACAACAAGTTTTAACGTTGTACCCTCGTGACCAAACTGTGGTCTAGAGAAATTGCTATACAACTGCTATACAACTAAGCCATAAAAGGCCTTGGCCCATTCCTTTAAACTTTCATCTTCCTAATCTAACTAGACAAGGATCCACCACACTATATATGCTATCAAATACCATATACAGTATATATTATATTTTTCTACCTTTTTTTTTTAATGTTGATCTTCCAATATTATAAAATTGGAACTTATTTTCTATGTTTGTTGATATAGGGATGACCGATGGGGCTCAAGTAGCATACTTATTGACGTGATTGAGTGTTTTAAATATCTAATTAGGATATTTATGATAAATTTATTAATTAATTAGATATTATAATTTTTTTTCTTTTTGGAGATAGTGATCACTGATCAGCATTCATTGAGCATAATTAGCATATTCCCAGTTAAAAGATTTCAACAGTTGGTAACCGGCCACTACGTGTTTTGCAATAATTTTTTCTGAATTTGACACATTATTATAGATTTCTTATAGTTTTGTAACTCTCAGTCTCTCTCTCACTCACTTTGATCGAATAAATAAGAAAGTATAGATTTTTTATTTTGGGCAAAGTATAGAAAGTATAGATTAACTCTGACTCATAAACCAGTAAAATTGTCTTGCATTTTACCGAAGCAATCCGGATTTTCCCATTGTAATTTTTTTTTAAAAAATCTAACTTTACATTTGGATCAAGCGAATTCCTCGATACTAAAATAAATTCAAATCAATTTTAAAAATAAAATTCTAAAAACTTTTTTCTTGTCTAAAATAGCATAAGATAAATCTAATGAACCGATCAGAAATGTGTGAATGTGAAAAAACTAGCTAGTGAAACGACGTATATACAACGTAGACGTATGTTGGAACTACGACAAGTCATTGTTTACTTTTTCTTGGCGTATTTTAATTATGTCATAACTTCCTTTTTTTTGTATTAGTTTGCGATGTCCATTTATATATGTCTTTTCATAATTTTGTATATTCCATACTAATATATGGGTTATATGTAATAAATAGTATTATAAACGAATAAAACAAAACGTGAATAGACATACTAATATACTATTTGGTGCAGGTAAATAAGTTCTCAAATCTTGAGAAATTATGTTTCCCAATGTAATATATAATTGTAAACTTAACACTATGAATTTTTCAGATTTTTTTTTAATTTAATCTTAATACAAATACTTGAATCACCCTCTTTTTGAGGTTGGTGTGTTGTCAAAACATGATTCACAAAAAGAAGACCAAAAATATGCACTTCCCCATAATACATACACCAAAAAAGAAATAGCTCATAATAAGCAAATCTTTTAAGAATATGAAACATCGAAGCCGTAACGATCTTAACTATACAAGAGTAGTTGTATAAATCGTGACAGCCCTTGACTTTGGGAGATATATAAATTAATGTCCAATTCAGAGAACGAAGTGGGAATGTGGGTTACGTCGACAAGGGCCTTTGTGCTCGAAGTTAATGGCCGAATATATTAGTGGAAAAGATAAAGTTGAGAAAATGATTTCCACAAATTCCTTTTTGACCAATTAAGAGAAAAGTTAGTGGAAAGAAAATTGTTTTCTCCATATTCTATATAGAGCAAAACAACCAAAATACAATAGCAAAACGCAAGAAGTGTTTACATTAGTTTTTATGGATATGGAATTGAGACTATATAATTAGAACTTATAAATAAAGTTATAAAATAAAAGTATTCCTTTAGTTATTCCTTATGTATTCTTCTTATTTTACATTTATACCTCTATTATGAGTATTATGAGGATTTTACTCAGCTCATATTAGCTTTATACTTTAGCTTATATTAGAAAACATAAGCATAGTATATAATACGATTGTAATACTCATTTTACACTCTAAGGAGAATAAAACATATTTTTACGATTCAATCTCTCTCTCGTCTCTCTCTTTAGCTCATCTTTTTCGTTATGAGTTTGTTAAACTCTGAATCTTGATAACCTCGACAAGTTACGTATTCTTTTTTTTCTTAAAAATCACATTAATAATCTTTTGATTTGTTGTTTCTCAAATAGTTGACCAATACGCAAATCTTTAAAACTTGAAAAACATATATATTGAATTCTAAACGCTGAATTGATGATGACCCACAATGAATATTGAAAAAAAAAAATTATGGTTATGTACTTATTTAGTGGATATATTATGTTATAATGTAATCCAATGCAAGGATGGTTATGTAATTATGTTAGGCAATAAAGAGTTGGTGGATACAAACATGCATTGATGTCGTATATGAATGCACATCTTAATCCTAACAATAAATTGTAGGTAAATAGTGGATAAATCATATGGATAAAACCAACATACATACATAAATAACATGTTATGAAAAATTCATCACTAGTAATCATGTAATCATCCAAAATAAGTTATAATCCATTATCTTCATTAGCCAAAAAATCTATTGTCATTTATTTAAATACTCAGTGTATAATTATAAATACTCTATTTTCAAACAAAAGAAAAATAATTTAACCATTCATTTTACTACATTTTTTGCCATATGTATAATTGAAATAACAAGATAGTATATAACTCAATCAATCAATAAATTAGTCTATATATGAAATTTGTAAACTTCTTTTTTTATATCTTCTCTAAATACATATTCTCACTATCCAATAAAACAACTGTAATTGGTCCAGCGTCGATATCGGAATATAAATTTTTTTAAAAAAATGTTCTAGAGGAAGGAAAAAAATCCCACCAGAAAATTTTTTAAAAAGGAGAACAAGAAAATATAAGATACATTGAACCTAGACATATGTATACCAAACCAAACCTCAGTCTATTAATAAAGAACGTTTCAAGAACCAAAAACAGAACACAAAAGCAAAACAAAACTAAACTCAAAAGACACAAAGAAAGAAAAAAAAACAGTATTTTCAAGAAAAGCCTTAAAATGGGGAAAGGAGGAAACTATGTGACGGTATCGACTTCAGAGGTGGAGGAGCTACGGAGGAAGAACGGAGAGATGGAAAAGGCGGTGGAGGAGATGAGGAAAGAGATGTTGCAACTGTGGCGACGGACTCAGGTGGCGGAAGAGGCTGAGGAGCGTCTTTGCTCTCAGCTAGCCGAGCTTGAAGCTGAATCTTTAGACCAAGCTCGTGACTACCACTCTCGTATCATCTTTCTCGTGAACGAGCTTACTCGTCTCTCTTCTTCCGAGTCAGCCTCTCCGTAGGAATAGATAGAGAGATAGGTTTCTGTTTTTACTTGTTTTTAGATTGTTGGATGTATCTTCCAATATGTAGAGTTTTTGTTTTCTTGCATCGAAGTTTTATCTCTTCGGAAAGTTCTATGTAAAATTCACACAAATTTAAAAGAAAAGATTCAATGTGATTAAGGGTACTGTTGAAATGGAAACTAGTCTTTTGAAACTGAAATTGTTGGAAAAAGGTGACATATGAGAAAAAGTCTTTGAAAATAAATCAAAAGATATTCAATTTATTGGGTTTGCAAAACTCTAATTTTGTTTAGAGTATAGTTAAATTGAAAAAGAAACAAATTGGTGTTTGTTCAAAGAAAAATACAGCAACTTTTTGTTCATTTCCTCTTAATTAATCAATATGTCATGTCATTTTTTATTTTAAAAAAAGAAAAAAAAATGAAGGAAACAAATTCTACAGAATTTTTATTTTAAAAAATTACATTTCGGTTTGATTTTATATTTCATTGTTGACATGACATATTGTTTTACTTTTTAATATAAATATTATTTCGATTAAAATATAATTTTAATATATGCAATTTATATATTTTGTAACAGTTTTTTTTTTCTTTTAATGAGCTCATGGCATGAAGGTTGAAAATTTTTTGTTCTTTCTTTTCTTATGTCGGAGAAAAAAGTGTCTTTATTCAAAAGATTCGGCGACCAAAGGGATGGTGGAGCTAGCTAATGTAATAGTTACCTGATCCGTTGGAAAATATCTAAACTCAAAGATCCCCAAACTATATGATATATGGCGGATCACATCACATGCCTTGGGAGTTATTTTCATGAATATGCATTTATATCGATTGGGCTAAATGTCGATGTGATACCTAACGTTTTCGAAATAGATTATATGTAAACAAATTAGGTTCTTAATTCATACAAGTAAAGTTTTTTGAATGTTTAATCTCTTGTGTATATATAATGTATAACCAAATTTATGTTTAATCTTGTCCCTTTCGCTTTTAAATTCATAGCTGTAATTTTTACGTTTTAATTGTAAACTCTTAAAAAGAAAATAGAGAAACGTCATGAAGACACATGGAGAAGTTAAACCATCGTTAAATCCAAAACACTACAAGTTTTACTTTCTTTGTTTTTAATGATGAAAACACAATGACCACTCACGACCCACTCGATCAATGACATTTCATATAATTTATTAAATTATCTTAAGAGTATTAATTTTTCTTTTTTTCTTGTTGGTAGGATCTTTAGAGTATTAATTATTCTTGTGTTAAAGTTTCTTTTGATTAACATATAGTCAGTAACCACAAGGAGTAGATATGAAAATAAGAAAATATAATGAGATTCATTCATTACTGATTACCCTAAGCTATAATTAACCATTAAAAAGAAAAATGTTCTAGAGGAAAGAAATAACTTAACCATAAATAAGAACGAAAAACAAGAGATACCAATACATGTACCCACCCAAAAAGCCACGGTCGTAGAGAAGTCTATATAAGGAACACTCAAACATACCAAAACAAGAAGAAGAAGAAGAACAACAACAACAACAAAAAACAAAGAAATCATCAAAAGCATAAAAATGGGGAAAGGAGGAAACAATGTGAAGGTTGGTGCAGCTTCCGAGGTGGAGGAGCTACGACGAAAGAACGTAGAGATGGAAAAAGAAGTGGAGGAGATGAAGAAAGAGATGTTGCAGCTTTGGAGGCGGACACAGGTGGCAGAGGAGGCCGAGGAGCATCTTTGCTCTCAGCTAGCTGAGCTTGAAGCTGAATCTTTAGACCAGGCTCGTGATTACCACTCTCGCATCATCTTGCTCATGAACGAGCTCTCTCGTCTCTCTTCTTCTGACTCAGACTCCGCCTCACCCTAGACAGATAGATATGTTTGTGTAATGGACATGTTCTTAGAATTGTTGGATTGTGGATGCATGATGTATCTTCCAACTTGGTTCATATCAATACCATTTTGTATAGTTTTTCTTTTCTTTTTTGTTATTGTAAACTCGAATTTTCCTTGGACAATCAATATAGTTGATCAAAAACACATCGTTGTTGTTTGCTCATCGATTTGTCTATACCGATCATATTCAATGTTAAATCTAAAAAAACAAAAACTATGTTGTCTGAAAAAGGTGATGGATTGTAAAAGTGTTTTGAACGTAAAGCAAAAGATGCTAGAAAATATTGAAATGAACAAAATTAAAGACCTCTAAATTTCTTTGAAGATTTTAAAAGCAATAAAGAAATTATTTGCTTTTCTTCTTCATTTTGTGTTTTTTCTCTTCTTCTCTCATACCCAATTGTAAGAAAAGTATAATATAACTATCACAATTATAGTTTGCTAAGAAGATAATCACTAAAAAAAGAAGAGGGATCGAGCTTTGACAGTGAGTCTCGAAGTTTTTTTACTAATCTTGAATAAAAACAAATGTGTCTTTATTCAAAAAGATTTGCCGACCTATGGGATTTGTGAAACTAAATGTGATCTTTACTAGAAAAGAAAAAATATTGAAAGCAAAACCTAAAAGAGAGGATATATATATGCTAATTCGTAGGCAAATGAACAAGTCCCATATATGTATGTATGACATATGACCTCACATCTACATGGCCTTCATTGCGAGTCATTGTCAAGACTATGTGTTTATTATATCAATAGTTTTAGATGTCGATGTGATACCTAACTTAATTATTATAGAAAACAAAATCACAATCCGAAAGATTTTAATGTTGAAAGAGATCATTATTAGGAAAATTTAACAACTAGTTTTTTTACGAAAACTTTAGGATGGTCATGGTTTCAACAACTCAAAATATGATGAGAAACTACTTGTGGTTGTTTATCTAATTCATTTTTTTTTTCTTGAAAACATTATTATATGTATATGTTAACTTGCCTGAACCAACTTTATAAAGAAAATGTCATGAATAAGGGAAAGCATATGCAATAGCCAAGCACATTACAATTTTTCTTTAAAGCACAATGACAAAATATCTCATGAGCCACCGACGGCAATGACATTTCATATTGTTTATTACATGATTTTTTGGCTAATTATTTTAGTAAAAATTTGTTAATTAATTAACATAGTCATTAAGCACAAGGAAATGTGAAAAGACTTACAATGACGTTTCATCATTATACTAACACTATAATTTAAGTAGCAAGAGATTCAACATGAGCAAGATCTTATAAGGACTTGCAACTTTCGTAATCCATCATGAAGGTACATAAGTGGAGTTGCTTGGATGTAAGGATTTGCATCTTTCATATAGGGATATGCTTCTTTCGTATCCACATTGAAGGTGTAGAGGTTAATCCACTATATAGTAAGGCCTAAGTTTCAAGAGTAATACAGTCGAGGTATATCATTTGAAGAATATATTTGATGCTTTATATCATCAGTTTTATGATTACCGAGTGGTTTTTCGTTATAAGAAATCTAACATGATAAGTTCGTGTAATCGAATCAAACATATAGCTAATAACATCAGCCAATAATGATTAATAATAGTGCTTGAGATCCTTATAACATCATCTTACAAAGATTAACGATACTGCCGAAGACAAGCAGAGGCTCTCTAGTCTCAACCACGACCTCGTTTGCCCTTCAGCTCAGGGTCCCTGTATAATCACCAAATTCGATGTCACTTTCATTGATTTCACATATTCATGTCACTGAAAATAGAGAGGGAAGTTGTATTCGAACCTTTGGATGTGATCAAGTATCAGTAGCCTTGGTCCAGGCGGGATGCTCGCGTCTTTTAGCGCACTAGACACACAAACATAGTTTTGAGGGGCATAAGATGATTCCAATATAAGACAGTTTTGCTTTTTTTTTTAGTTGATACAGAAACGAAATCTCAGAAGCTCAAAACAGTGTAGTACCTATCAGTGAGCAATGGCAGAGTTGGGTCTGCTAATAAACCCTTCTTGAAGTTTTTCTCATACTTCTCTAGGCCCAGTTTCAATAACATAGATCTTCCCCGGGTGTAAAATGGATCTTCAACGCTTGGTTTAGAGAACCTTTGACCCAACTGAACAAGACCGAAAAGAAGAGAATAGAAACTGATGATTAATGACATGCCTAACTACTTTCAAGAAGACCATAATCTCCTATATATATGATTACTCACCTTAAAAAATACTCCTTGGAAAAGAGCGAAACCAGCGGCAGTGGTGATTGCATTCATAGGTTGACCTTGTAATCCTGCGCTCACTAAAGAATATGCAACCCCTGATCCGAATGCTGCGACCACACTGCACAATTCAAAATCATCACTCTTTCCACCCGAGTTTTAACAAACAAATAAGCCACTGTGAATCATCATCACACATCAAAGATTTGAGTTTATGTTGTTTCAAATATAAACACCCTACACAGGAACAGTGAATCACTTAAAACAACATAATGAATCATAACAAACTGATTCGATATGAGATTGTACTGTGAAGCAATAAACTGATCAAAAGAACAAAAAAAAACAAGCAAAGTCAAAAAATTTCCCCTGTCATGGAATCAATCCTGTGATAGAGACTGATTAGGACCTGTAACTAAGTTGAAAACATAAACACTAGTTGCAGACACTAATTGTCTCTAACATGAGGTCCAAAATTGAATTCTAAAATTAATTCACTCCTAGATCACTGTTTGAAATAATAGAATCAAGAAACAACAATTCACAAACACACACACACAATACAAACATTAGTGATAGCTACAGCTCAATACAGGTTAAGATTCATCTCAAAATTCTCAAAGCACCAAAATGAAAACTTACGCAGATTCTAAATCCTCCTTGCCTCTAATCCGTTTCATAACACAAGCTATACCAGCATTAACACCAGTTATAGCAGCAAAGTTCCGAGCTTGAACCAAAGGTCCACCAACAAGAGCCTACAAACAAAGTTTTCACAACCTTTAATAAGTTGAAAATGACATAAACCAAAATTAGGGTTTAATGGAGGTTTAGGAAACCTGAGTTTGCTTTAACGAAGCCATAGCTTGAGGGTCAACACCAGCTTGAGGCATTTCAGGGGAAAGAGTACCCATTAGACCACCGATAAAAGCTCCCTGAACTCCTCCCATGGCGGTGACTACGGCGGCTTCCACTGGTAGCTTCTGTTTTGACAACCATGATTTGAAACCAGTCTCAACCTCCTTGAATTTGATTTGGAACTGTTGAATTGGATTCTGTTGATCCTTCATTAAGCTCATCACCGCCATTGTTTCTTGCACCTTGTCTCCTCCGTCTTTCCCCATTTTTTGGTTTTTTTTTTCTTTCTTTCTTTTGTCACACTTCTCTTCTTTCTTCCTTCTTCTCCTTATCTCCCTCCTTTTGCCGTTTCCGTGTTTCTAGTTTCTACGATATCTTATTGGGCCTTATAAGAAGCCCATAATATGATATTATATTAGTTTATTGGATCTATTACATCAATCTTTAGGCTTATTGGGCTTTAGGCAATAGTCTTGTACCATTGCGAACAAAAACACTTTGGAAACGCTAACAAGCAGTTTTTGTGCCTAATCTTCTTCCCGCGTCTTTCACACAAACTTCAATCTCGCCGCCGGCGAAACCTTTGCTTCTTCTCTCAGTCAATTCAGATTCCTTTTTTAGATCTCGTCGCCGGATTTCAACGTCATTGGATCCGTTGATCACTCAATTTTGTCTCCTTCTTCTTCTTCGTCAGGTGAGCTTCAATTTCATGGGAGATTTCATCGAATCTATGGCTTTTAAGGTCTCTTTTAGGGTTTTTGATTTGCGAAGTGTTATATGTATCTAGGAGCTGATTTTTTTCTAATTGAGTGGAGATTGAAGTTGGGAAGAAGCTTGGATTGTTGTTTCGAAGTTGAAATTATGAGCAGCAGCTCCAGAGAGGGATCTCCCGATTGGCTTCGCTCTTACGAGGTTTCAGATTCAAAAATCTGGTTCCTAATTTGAATCATTGGTTTTGGTATTTCTTACAGTATATCACAATTGTAAAAATTGGATGCTTTTGTTACGCAGGCACCTACGACTACTTCATTGTTGTCACTGTCATCACTATCTAAATCATCTCCAGATGATAGTCCTTATAGGGAATCTGAAGCCATTTCGTCTCTTCCTGTGCCTGGTGACTGTGATGACATTGTGATTCTTGAGAAAGAATCCGTGGAGTCTTCGTCTAGGAAGAAATCCAAAACTAAGGTTGTGACGAAGCAAGTGAGTATCGAGCAGGTGTTTTCTAGAAAGAAGAAAGCAGATGTTAGTCTTAACCTTGAAGGTATGGACGATGATGCACCAAAACTGTGTTTTCTTTTTGCTATTGTGATTAGATACAACACATTATAGGTCTTCTTTCTTGAGAGAGAGAGAGCGTGTATATCTATTTTGTAGGGAGTATTGTTTATCTGTTGAGCTATTAAAAGGATGCTTTTGACTGGAGATTGATTTGCAGGGAAGCAGAATGGAAACAAAGTTAACGGTGAAAAACTCTCTAGCATGCATAAGGATGCTCAAGTAAGAAACTTTTATTGCTTCTGTTTGCTTTAGTGGGTAGTTATTCTGATTTAAGATTTTCTTGTTAGGATGTCCCTGTTTGATAAATGAATTGTATTGTCAAGATTGTTTTAAACTTTCCTTAGAGCAGGTTTTCCAATTCTATGAACGATGATGGAATTTAGTAGGCTATCTTGTCCTCACTCTACTTGTCTTAGTGAGGGTTTGTTGTTTGCATGGATCTATTCAATTAACGAAAGATAGTATCAAAGAGGTGTAGAAGTGCTAATTCTTAAGTTGGTATGGTGTTGAGAACTTGTGATAAGACTTCTTCTTATTCTCTTTAGCAGGGAGAAAATGATTCTGTGATGCTTGTCTCATCTGATTCTGAACCATCCTCCAGTGGTCCGACCAAGCAGGAAGTGACCGTGCCAATTGAAAAGGATGTGGATCTTGTTCATGAAGCTAAAGAGGGAGAACCTGTACTTAAGAAGGCTCCAAAGGAAAACTCTCCAAAAAAAAAGCCAAAAAGTAGTCGCAAGGCACCCAAGATTGAAAATAGTTCACAAGAAGTTTTGAAAACTGAAGGTAAGACTTGTAACAAACTTTTGTGAGTTCAGGATTCGTCTAAAGCAATGTAACGGTCCTTCCCTCATGCAGATAAAGATACAGATACAGATGCCATAATAGCCGAGGACGTAATAACGGATAAGAATATCAAGCCTTCTGTAAGGACCTTGTGCTAGGCCCATTATTGTTATTTCTTCTCTGTTTCTTCCTTATGACCAGATTTACAAATTCCAGGGCTCAAGTTCAAGATTACCATTGGTACTTTCTGAGAAGGTGAATCGTACAAAGGTAAATACAAGTGTGTTTCTTTGCACATGGTTTTACACTCTACGTTTTTATATCATTGTTATGGAAGCTGTGACACTTCTTGTTTTGGAAATGCCAAAACTACATCAACTTTTAGAATTTATTTTTTGATAAAGCTGATATAAAACAGTGAACTATATTTACAGGTACTCGTTGAATGTGAAGGTGACTCGATAGATTTAAGTGGAGACATGGGGGCTGTTGGACGCGTGGTTGTTTCAGACACCACTGGGGACATGTACATGGACTTAAAAGGCACGTTCCCTCAACTATACATATTAACTGGCTTCACTCTCTCTCTCTCTTTTTATTAGCAAAATATGTAGCAGAATTAGCTATGCCTATTGAATGTAACAGAGCAAATTCGGTTACAAGGAACAGGTAACAGAATTAGTTCATGACTGGAGTCTCTTTACTAACACTTTGTCATTTTATGTTTCAGGAACTATATATAAATCAACAATCATTCCATCTAGAACATTTTGTGTGGTACGTTTTTTGTTTTCTTTTACCTTTTTGTATTATAAGGGCACACACTTTTTGGTATACAATTATTCACACCAACGATCTTGTATTTCAGGTTAACGTAAGTCAGACAGAGGCAAAGGTTGGTAATTTCTATCGTGCTTCCTTGTTTCAACCATCTTAAGTTTTTTTCTTAGATCTCGACTCTGTGTGCACCCTAAAATTTTGCTAAGTTAAATTTTAGGAGTTGGTTGAGAAACTAAAACATAAATCATAATGATACCCTAATTTTTGCATTATATGCTTTCTTGTCAGATTGAATCTATTATGAATGACTTCATACAGCTGACACCACAATCTAATGTGTACGAGGCAGAAACAATGGTCGAAGGTCAGCTTGATTTCTCTGTCTCTGTTTAGTGTGTAAAGACATTATTTATTGCTACCTTGTCTTCTTGTAGCACAATTCTCGATTTAGTAAACTGATTTTACGAAGATGATTGTTTCTCCGGCTAATTTTTTCTGACCCATTTAGGCACTCTGGAGGGATTTTCATTCGAATCAGATGATGAAAATAACAAAAACACCAAAAATGCTTCAAAGCCAACTGATCAAATTGGCGGCACAGAGGAAGAAACCAACACAAAAGCCAAAACCAAAGCCAAAGCAAAAGGCGAAACTGTATGATAACAAAACTCAGAATTCCCCCCTAAGAAATTGATATAAAATCCCTCAGTGAAAGAATATTTGTTTCATGTGAAATCTTTGCAGGTTTTAGGCAAAAAGAGAGGAAGACCATCTAAAGAGAAGCAGACACCAGCAAAAAAGGCTAAAAGTTCTGCTCCTAAGAAGCCAAAAGCCAAGAAATGAGTTATGATTTTGATTTGATTTCTCCCACTTTTTAAAAAACTTGACATTTCATTTATTTAGGTGAGACAACATTATATACGTCAAATAGAGTAGTTTTACATGTACGAGTTTCGAAGCCAGTACAGACATTTCAAGGCAAACTATTTGAATAATGAAGCTCAGAATTTTTTGTGGAGACTTTGATAATGACGCTCAGGATCTATGAGGTTACGTATCACCACTTCGCATTAAAAATGAAAAATATTGACGATTCATGTTGTGCCTGATTGCCTCAAAGCAGTAAGACTGAAACCAAGAAGCAACAAGACAGGGTAAGGTCGAAGAATATCGGATGAGGATTGAGTGTCTCTTTGACTCTGATCCTGAATTGGGGGATTCATATACTGTTCGTTTGGAACTTGGTTCCCAGAGGGAGGCATGAACTGCCCATTCCCATTTTGATTTTGAGGTGGGGGAGTCATTGATTCCTCGTTTGGTCCAGGTGGGTTCTGAGTGAGAGGAATCATAGGTGGACCGTACTGATTTTGAGTTGGTGGAGCCACAGGCTGATTGTATTGATTCTGGGTGGGAGGAGCCATTGGTTGACCATATGTTGGTGGAGCCATAGGTTGACTGTACTGATTCGGAGGTGGAAGAACCACAGGTTGCCCGAACTGATTCTGAGGCGGACTGGGAGGATCTGAGCTTTGGCTGTCCGGTCTTTTTACCCTGGATGGGGATAATAATCAATCAGAATCTGCAAATACTTATTTTGAAAAGTTGCAGAGAGCATTGTAACAAACTGAAAAGTGAAAAAAGCATATGATTTCATACCTACCAGGACAGAAGATAATGGCATATTCAGAAGCCTTACAAGTGAAAGTACTGGTTCCATCATCAAAGGCATAGCTATAAGCTCTGGGACAGGCTCTCTTGAAGATGGAAGAGTATGATGATGGTCGGCATGTGGTCGGGTTAGCAAACTGACCGCTGCAACAGTACTGGTCCAACCCAAAGGCCTCACAAGCGCTCTTGCATGCAACAACTCCTCTCTGTTCCTCTTCCTCTCCCATCACTTGAAGCTCCTTTGGACAGCTAATGTTGACATCAGCAACACATCCTGTAGCATTACAAGCTCCAACTAGCCCACCACCTGTTGGGAGAGCAACTATGGGAAGATTATACCCATCAACAAGACTGATATCGTAGAAATCTTTGTCATCAGAACCATGACCAAGTGTGATCTCAAATAGTGATGTCGGCGGTGCAGCACCATTACCGGCACACTCCAGCTTACCGCCGCAGTCTCCCGTCATACATTTTCCCATGCCATTAGCATCAAAGTTGCAACCGGTCCTAGCCCATATCCGACCTGACCAGCCTAGAGTCGATGGAATCCTCACAGACTGTCCCACATCAAGCCTGAACCCTGTCGTGGGTAGTGCCTGGGTGCCAGAGCCTGCAAGAGTTCCGGGCCATATTGTAAAGGGGCAGTTATTTGTGATGACAAAAGTGGATGCATAAGAAACAGAAAACATTAGAGAAACATAAAAAAGAACAGCAATGAGAACCATTGGTGATTTTCCCATTACATTTAAGTTTTTAGAAATATGAATTTGGCTGAGAGGTCCATGGAGCAGGGTTTATAACAAATAAAATGTAGAGGGAGAAGAAGGATTCAATGTTGAAGCGGTGAAGTTGCTTTAGAGAGCTTCAAGCCGCAAGACAATAAGTTAGGGTTTAGCATTACTCTTAGGACACTGGCCTCTCCGACAAGACAATTCTTTGCCTTACTTCCCCAACCAGTTTTGATCCGTTTATTATATTATAATAGAAAACTAATGAAACGATGTATCATGTAAGAGAATCTACACTAATTTCTTTTCAAACCAAATTCCTTGACAATTGTGTTGATAAAAATTATGTAATAAGTAACCAAATATCATCGTAAAAGTACTTCAAAGAAAAAACGAAATTCAATAATGAATAGTGGTGGAAAGAATCAACAAAAGTACAATAAAATAGTGATTGTTACTATCATTAGCTATTAGGGAGAAGTATTCCCGTACCATTTATCTTATCGTAGCGGCTGAGTCAAAATCTGATACTTTGCTTCTTCTTCAGAAGAGAATCTTCCATGATCCCAGGATACTATATGATTACCTAGACATTTACATTTTGTGTCAGCTAAACTATTACATTAAATCCACGTTGAAACAAACAATTTGAGGCAAACAATTAAAGATTTTTTTACAAAGCCCTCAAGTTGCTGCAAACTTAGAAATAATATTCTAAATGAAGACTACATGGGTTTTTTTCTTTCTTATTTTTAAGTCAACCAGATCATCATTGTATATATACATCAGAATAGATTATATTTTAGGTAGCCTAGGACTACAATAAATAGCTAGGAAACGAGGAGGTTGTAAGTACGCTATGACTTACCAAGACTCCGATTTAGGTGGGAGCAAAAATAAGAGCTCAGATTCCATCCAGGCCAGATATAATATCTTCAACAGACACTTTAGCATTTCAAAGATAGTGTACCTGGTCAGAGATATAAGAAAAATATCAGAACCTCAAATACAAGAGTCTATGGTTATCACGACTAATTTACATGGCAGAAGATAATATACATGAAGTTGTGAGCTCAAATTAAAAAGAAAACGAAGGATAACAATTCCGTAAACATCATGTCACATAAATACCATGTGTAGCTGATACTTTTGAACACAGTTGGCTGACCACATGCTCGTTGGGTAGTTCATATCTATTCCACGGGCGTCCTTCCTCTCACAGTTGAGTATCAACTTATGCAGCCAATGAATTAAACCAAATGTGTTGTTTCCTGCTGAGCACAAACACAAGAGGACCTGCAAAGTACGGTTTCAACTTCCGTCTGTTAGACTCGAGTTATTCTTTGATTAAAAAAATAAAAATAAATCAAACAGTCAAATCAGTGTACACAAAAGAAACACAATGAAACACTCCTTAATTGCAACATTTGAAACCTGCACAAACAGAAAACATCTTCAGAACCCCAAATACTCATCAATCAAGGAAAGGAAAGATGGATAGAACACAAAATTTGTTAGAATTAGGTTCCGATCAGAAAGGATGTTCCTGCAGGATAACAAAACCAGAAAATGTCCTGTATCTTCAGAAATTGGTTACCAAAGTGTATAACCCTGCAGCAGCACACTTACAGAATCACCCATGGTGCGTAATGATAGGGCGCTAAAAGTCGATGGTAACCAAAACAAGATACATAGCTGAATAAAAACATACCTAAATATTGTATCCAATCACAAGGAAAGACCAAAGAAGCACAAGAATAGATACCAAACATCACCAAGAAGAATAAGCAAGTTTGCTATTCTATTACACCTAAATGCAACAGTGATAAGGTCCAGAATAAAGCATTAGAATTATAAAGTCTCTCCTACATAAGTACTACATAAAGTTCACAATACTAAGATAAAGCTCTCTTTAAAGCAGGGAGGATGCCTAGATCCCCCTGCTGGAGCAATAAGCACAATGTCTCTTATCCATAGTTGTTCAGAAGAAAGGGAAAGGGAAGTTATTCTACTTAAGATAAAGAGCCTCTCAGTCTCTGGAATATTGAGGAGATCAGCATGGATCTAACTCAAATCCATCCCGTCTCCAGCTGGGGTGCAGATGGGGCTCACAGCAGAGAAAGACCTCTCGAAAGGAGAAGCATGGAACTGGGCATCACGACGACGACGCTTAAACGAACAGCTCTCAGAAGGATGACTCTCAGCATCAAGCTTCCTCCGGACTCCTTTCACAGCCTGCTCCTCAACCGATGAGAGAGGGAAAATCCTGCCGCTGGCACGGCACAAAGAGCTATGGTTATCATAGAGAATCCGCTGGTTACAGTTCTTGTCGCAGACATGAGTCAGCCCAGTTAGTTTGCAGCGGTACATATTCCCACAAACAATTTCATTCTCACATTTCCAATCACATTTGTGACACTGGATGGGTCCATCGCAATCGCGACCCAGAATTGCAGACAAGTAAATAACATTGGCAGATGTAACCATGGGAGATTTTCCAAATACCTCCATCTTTCAAAAGCAAGCCTCTCTGATTCTGAAAAAAAAAGCTCCACACACAACCTTTATCACTCTGCAGAACCCAACAAAAAGCCGAAGAAACCATCAATATCATCACACAAATGGTAAGCAAAAATGTGAAAATCTGAGATCACTCCAAAATTAAAGCTAATCAATTCCTCTACTTCACAACCTCATTCAAGATCACATGGAAAATTTCGTCTGCAAGAGAAATTAATCTCGGAATCTACTTTAAGCAAAATTTGAATTAAACACAATTAGACTCCAGATGTGCTAAGCTACAGACTCCATGATACCAATCTCTACGAACATATAGATAAACGTAATTTTTAAGCTGCAACAAGTAGCTACCAGATCCGACTGTAGAATGAAGAAGATTCTCCATGAAATCACAAATTTTAAAAGCAAATACACAAAAGGAAGATAGAGGAGAAAGAGAGATACCTGGAGAGAGAAGATACTGCAACGAAACCCTAATTTTGACTCTTCGAGAGAGAGAGAGAGAGAGAGAGAGAGAGAGAAATGAAAGCTAAGATGAAGGAAGAAGAACAAAGTGAGGGAGGAAGAAGATGAAGATATTTATAGATTAGATCTAACTCCGTTAATTAACGGTGTTTGTGTACTTAATTAATTCGTCTATTTCTTTTGTCGTTTATTGCGAAAAGAGAATGATAATAAATAAAATAATCACGTGTCATTTGTCCAATGGTTATATTTTAAATCCACGCGGCAAAAAATTACAAAATCCCCCACCCAAATTTCACCTATTTTAAATTTTAAAAAAGTTCTCTTATTAATGTGATATTTGAAGATTTAAGATTTTAAATTTCCTTGGTAAATATGGTTATTATTGAGTTTGTGTTAGTTATTATTAAATGAGATTAGCAACATTAAATTTACCAACAATCATTATTTAATTAATTTTTGTGGAAAAAACGAGATAAAAGGAGAAACGGTAATGGAGAGAGAGTGCGATGACTTTGGCCAACCTAACTTCATCCGTCTTCTTTGCTCCTTCACATCCTCTTTTTTTTTCCAACTAACCACAAAGTTTTGACTTTTTTGGACGTTGACTGGATTTGGGCTTAGTTAAAAAGCCCATTTGCAAATTTTATATAGCTTTAAAAGACTTTTTCACCGAAGTAACAGTTACACCGACCAAAATTTTGTCAACTGGTGTAAAACAGAAAACAAAAGCAACGATAAAGTGACAAAATTTTAGAAAACTGAAATTTTCAAGTGAGAAATATATTAGAAATAATTGAAAAAGTTACATACAAACTAGAATGTTGAAATTTTTTTAAACAAATGATGTTATTTAAAAAAAAAACTAAATAGTCATAATCTAATGGTAAAGGGAGATAATTCCTACCATCTGGGCTCGAGTAGCATTAGCCACCGTGATTCGAATAATTTAACAAGGCCTTTTCAGAACCATTATTTGGTAATCAAGTAGTAGTGGTGGTTTAGAGGATATATTAATTTTTTCCAAATGCAAAATTTATTAAATCACTCTATTTGGTAAGTCAAAATAATGGCATGCTTTAAATCCGTTTTCAAAACTCAATAAATTAACTATGCGACGAGGATACTCGTCAATCGTCATTTCAAGTTAATCAGGTGGAACATTTATGGTTATCGAAATTTTGTTTATCTAAAATATTTTCTTGTGATTAACTATGTTTAGTGGATAGATATTATTAAATACTTCAAAATTCAAATAAAGTGAGCTTAGGCAGACAATACTGATGTATCATGTGTTATAATAACCAAGTGTTAACCTAGACGAAGATCTAGTCGAAGATAAAAACACCCACGTGAATGAAGTACGGATGCTTACTTCGAGACAGATCCAATAATTTTATAATACTTGAAAATAACACAACAAGAAGACTGGTTTTAATGTGAGTCTTTCATTACAAGTCAACGAAAGTCTTTTATTAATATGGTAACGGTAACATGTCACACACACAGACCACTCCCATAGGACTGATCTTCTTATCTTGAAGACTTGGGTTGTAGTATTTGTTGAACATGCAAATGAGTGACACATAAAGTAAACTGCTCTACTTCTAGCAAGTGGCACCACATAGTAGATAACCTAATTTAATTGTTTTCTTTTAAAAGAAATTTGTCTTCAAAGTAAAACAAAAAACTGTATTATGTGATTTTAGCTAGCACAAACAATTTTTCAAGACTATTTGTGACAAAGTATTTGCAAATAACTTAGTTTTCTTTTCTCATTTCCATTGGAATTTAGAATTTGGAACTTGGAAGTGTTCACTATTACGTGAGATGATGCATTATGCAATCTTACATTTTCTCTATGCCGTGGAAATTTTTTGATCCCACAATTTTTTTTTTTTTTTTTGGAATTTTTGTAAATTGAATTGTTAATTAAAAAATAAGAGAAATAGAAACATCGCTGTGATGGTGGTGGGGAACACTCGAGGAATATACCAATGCCGAATCAGCTGTGAAATAAATAAAAGTTGGACGTCACAGATAGTTAGTGGGCCTCTAGTGGGCCGTTGGTGGTCTCAAAAGGTTTCCACTTTCCTCAAATTTTCCCTTTTTTGGTCTTTTTCAATTAAAAGCAACAATATTTTTTACTGGTCCGAAATTAACTATTTAAAATAAAATATATTCTAAAAATTTAACATTATTATCAGAATTGTGTTTTTCTTATGAATTTTATCAATGGTTTATAATTCAAAATAATTTTTTACCTCATTCTCGTTTTTTAAGTTAGATTATAGTTATTTTCACATTTTGCAATTAAATTTGTAACTTCAAATTTTAATTATTATTTCACTATGTCATAATAAAAATATAATACTATGGTATATTTGTTATGCAATAGTTCAATACTTATTAGTATAAGACTGCTAGTTATCGAAAACTGTTCGCATGCTTTTGAGGTGTGAGTTGTTGAAAGAAAAATATTTGGAGTGTATGTTGTTTGACAAACAAAATTACATAACATCTTTCGCATGCCTTTTTTTTTGGCTAATTCACTAATGATCCTTTTGAGTTTTGACTACAAATGGTCAGCATAAATCTTTTAATTTTTTTTAATAATATAGAGTAACTTTATAAAATTCAGATTATTAATACCTTGTTTCCACTAATTAAGATGAACTATCAAATAAAGAAACTCTGTTTTATAGAATTTCCTACAATGGTTTACGAAATTAGTCATTTGAGATCATTTGAAACAACAAGAATATATAAAAAATACTATGGTCTTTTTAAAACTACATCTTTTTTTTTCTTTACATCAAAAATTCAAAATACGTCTCTTCTCTATTTTAGAGGTTCTATAAGGTTTATATAAATAAAGATAATAAAATATATATCAAATTAGGTAGAAAGTGTGACCATATTACCACTAGCTAGTAAATTTCGAATTTTCTTCTTTGATTTGTAAAAATAAATTATTCTATGATCTGTCGTTTTTTTTTATTAATATATCGCAACTGTCTAAATTATGTAGTCTTTATAAATTATCAGTGCATGCATCGGAATTCCCGTGAATTGGAAACTGAACTTTTCGTTTAATATGGTTGTCAATTTTGTATCCAATAGTAAATGTCGTTTCACAATTTCAACTAAAATTTCCAATATTATTTCAGTTAATCGATGCTCGATATATAACGTGTATTTTTTTGCTTAACTTTTTAAAATTTTTTTGCTAAACTATAACGTGTATTTTATGTTCCAATTGTACTTTAAATGTATATTAGATGTTTGGTATTTAAAAAAAAAAATGTGCCAAATGGCATCGGCTGGTCCAAACTTAACAGCTAGGGCTCGCCTTTTAAAAGTGGAGATTTCTATGTAAAATGTATATATATACAAGTAATTAATTAATTACATTAACACGTTTTATATGTAAAGTCTCAAATCTATAAATAGAGGTAGCTAGAGAGAGTGAGAAGAAACGGCTGAGAATCCGGGAAGCTCTAAACAAATTAAAAGAGAGGGCATTAGATACGTGAAGGCTCCACGTTAGACCCGTACTTCACTTTGATTCTCTCATCAAAATCTTCTCCTTCAAAATTCTTATACTTTCTTGTGATCGATTAAATCTCGATCTAATCAAAGAAGATGAAGCGTGAGTATTTAGATTACACACTTGTGCCTTTAGGGCTTGGTTTGATGTTGTTCTATCATCTATGGCTTCTCCACCGTATCATCAACCGTCCCTCTTCGACCGTCGTTGGCCTCAACGCCTTCAATCGCCGCCTTTGGGTTCAAGCCATGATGGAGGTTCCATCTTTTATCTCTTTTTCTTATAATATATCTTTTGCTTTTCTAACTTTATTTCACATATACATCTAGATCTCTCCATAGACTTAGCTCATTGGTTATATTTTGAGGGTTGTTGGAGATAACAAAGTAGAATCTCGTGCATATCACGTGTTGATGTGTATGTGGTTATATATGATACATATTGCATATATTGTGTTAATTTTTACATAATGATAAAGATGAATATGTAGATCGAATAAGATGTGATAATTCTTACAGATAAGTGTATGCATGCGCATAGATTTTTCAGGGAAAGATAAACCTCTCAATGGTTTAAGTTCCTTATGAGTTGGAGGATGTGAGGTTGAGAATATTAGTACATGGTTTCTTTTATATATGAGTATATAAGTATATTCATCATGCATGCACTTAACAAATTGACAAGTGAAACTGAAAAAAGTATCAAAATAAAATATTTTTCTTTTTGTTTCTCAGATCTTTTATTTTCTCAGAGTATATGTGAACATAATTATACTTAAAGTTGTTTACGTAATTGTCAGTTTCTAGAAATTTCCTAAAGAAATGAGTCCTCAAGTGTGAAAAGCTAATGACACTAAAAAGATGCTTTGCAATATTAGGATTTGTTTTTTGAAAATGTCAATAAATTACATTGTTTCCTCCACCATTTTTATCCTTTGTTTGATTGGATCTTCAGATTTTTTTTTGTTATTGTACTAATAGATTTCAAATACAACTAATGAAAATAGGATTCATCCAAAAACGGCGTTTTAGCGGTTCAAACGCTAAGGAATAACATAATGGCGTCAACACTATTGGCATCAACCGCAATAATGTTGTGTTCACTAATCGCGGTACTAATGACCAGCGGTACAGTAGAGCGTTCGGTTTGGTTAGTGTCTGGTGACAAAAGCGACTTAGCCTTTTCACTCAAGTTCTTCGCGATCCTCGTGTGTTTCCTAGTCGCGTTTCTCCTCAACGTCCAGTCAATTCGTTATTACAGCCATGCAAGCATCCTCATCAATGTCCCATTTAAACAGCTCATGGCTGTTTCTTCAGGTGGTCGTGGTAATAGTGGTCTCATGATAAACCAAGACTATGTGGCTGCAACGATTAACCGTGGGAGCTACTTCTGGTCGCTAGGACTAAGAGCGTTCTACTTCTCATCGCCTTTGTTCCTATGGATCTTTGGTCCTATCCCGATGTTCATAACTTGTTGCGTTCTTGTTTGTTCGTTGTACTTCCTTGATTTAACGTTTGATTCGATGAAATGTACCGTTGGAGTCGCGGATGGGGAGGAGCCAGAGGTTAGAAGGTTAGCTCAGAATGTTTAGTAGTTTTATAAGTGACAATGGTTAGGGATTCAGAGAGTTTAGTTTAATGGAAGAAGGAACATACAAAATCTTGAAAGTTGTATTGATTCAGGTTCAATGGTTGTTGAACCTGTGTCGTCAAAAGAGTCACTCTTGTCGCTAAATGAATAAAAATTGTTATATTCGCATATGAGTCACATGAAAATGGACCATACTATGTTTATTTTCAACCTTCTTCCTTAAGAAAAAACTATATCAGTTACAAACTAAAGAAATATTTTTAAAATTTCAGTTGGACTTGCATAATATAATCCACTGGCATCGTCACATCGGTTAAATGAAATTGTGATATCATCAACTCGTGATAGTACTAGGAGGTGACATTTCAGTTGATTATTGTGGTCAACCACATTAATTGTTTGAGATCTCCTTAAAAGCCTTTTTATTTGAAATAAGAAAAACTAACGTCTGTAACTCGCAAACACTAATAACGTGGTCGTGCGTGTTTGTAAAGCAATTAGAAAGAGGAACCAATAGAAGTTTATGCAAGTTCTCAATTGTGGAAGTCATAACAAAGTTCAAGAAGCCGGCAATATTTGACCCAAAATTAAGAAAATGTTGTTCAAAGAAAAGAAAAAAAACCATAGTTGGATCTGCTCATGTCAATATATCATGTCATGATTCTGGAAAAGAAGTTTTATTTTTTCTTTTTATTTTGTAGTTTTTATTTTTACCTTTTTAGCTTCTCAATTTGTTCTCTTGCACAACATCATCGAACTTTGGTACATGTCTGATTCCTTGGGACTGCTGCTCTCATCGAGTCTCCAATCAATTTTAATTTTGGGTGGACAGTATAAGGATTAAGGAATAGTAGACTTTTTAATATAGAGTTTTTGGTTGTATATACCTCTTGTTGGGCTTAAATAACAAGCTCTATTAGTCAAATGGGCTGGCCACTTGTGTATATTTGGCAAGTAATTATTAAAATACAGTATTTATGTTTGTTTAATTACTAAACCACTAGCACTAATTAAAAAGCAGTTTAAGTTTAACCCGAAAAAGAAAGAAACTTCCGTACAAGTTCCTTTACCACATCCACGTGTCAGTAAACAATTCATCAACTGACATCTTTCTCTTTGACGTAAGCTAACTTTACTTATTTAGCCCTCACTGCCACATGCTAACATGACTACTTTACATCCTCTGTTTCAGGGGCAAAAATGGTATTAACATCTTTTTTCTCTTTACGCGTAAGGAACGTGGTTTTTGATGTTTCTGGGAAGCAGGGTCGCCTGTAGTAGTAGCACAACACTGTTTCTTTGATAACTCTCTTGTCTCTGACCAAATCGTGTCATACATCTCCTTCATTCTTCTTCACTTTAACAAATTCTAGGGTTCTTCTTTTTTTTCCTTATCTGATCAAAAATTCTGGAATCTGGTTTTTTTTTTTCTCGATACCTTTTGAATCGCATCTCTGATCCATTTTTTGTTTTCATTTTTTGGATTTAGAAACTGAACTCGATTTTTTTTGCTAATTTTCGTTGTCTTCTCGAAGTTTAAAAACGTATGAAAGAAGATATAGATGTATTGTCTCTTGCTTCACTACCTGTGGGGTTCAGATTTAGTCCGACGGATGAAGAGTTAGTTCGGTACTATCTCCGGCTCAAGATCAATGGTCACGATGACGATGTCAGAGTCATCCGTGAGGTTGATATCTGCAAATGGGAGCCATGGGACTTGCCTGGTATATTCTCACTTCTTTATCCTCTCTCCAAAGTATTATCCAAATCGATCTTGATGGTCTTTAGCTCTGTTGTTGAGGTTTAATTTTTGGAAATAAGTTTACTTGCTTAGCTTTGGGTAGTGGAATCAGTGGATTTGAGTAAAGATTTATACTTTTCTTGGTTGTGTGTTGTTGTTGTTGTGTTTGCAGATTTCTCTGTGGTGAAGACAACAGATTCAGAGTGGCTCTTCTTTTGTCCATTGGATCGGAAGTATCCGAGTGGAAGTAGGATGAATCGAGCTACTGTGGCTGGTTACTGGAAGGCGACGGGAAAAGACCGTAAGATCAAATCAGGGAAGACTAAGATTATTGGTGTTAAGAGGACTCTAGTGTTTTATACAGGTCGTGCTCCTAAGGGTACACGGACCTGTTGGATTATGCATGAGTACCGCGCTACTGAGAAGGATCTTGATGGAACTAAGTCTGGCCAGGTAAAACCAACTTATGAGTAAATGCTCTGTTTTTACTTTTGTGTTTCGAGTTTCTGATTTTGGTTCTTGGGTTGTTTTGGTTTGCAGAATCCATTTGTTATTTGCAAGTTGTTCAAGAAGCAAGATATTGTGGAAGGAGATGTACCAGAAGATTCAAAGTCATGTGAAGTTGAACCAGCGGTCTCGTCTCCAACTGTTGTGGATGAGATGAAATCTGAGGTTGAGATGTCTGAGGTATCTCTTATTTTCCCTAAAACCGAAGACACAAAGCCTTCTGATGTCGCGGAATCATCTCTTCTTGTCTCTAGTGAATGTCGTAGTGAAAACTCTGCAGCTGAGGCTACAACCACTGGAGTAAGGATGAACAAAATACAATCTTTTTTCATTAGAGGAGACAATTTTGTAAAACTTACAAACTTTATTTTGCTTAACAGCTTGAAGATATCGATTGGCTCTCATATATGGAGTTTGATTCCATGGATCAAAAGTTGTTCTCTCCGTTGCACTCTCAGGTTCAACCAGAGCTTGGATCCTCTTTCAGTGGTTTTCAATCTGGGTCAAGCGAAGTGTTCAAACACCACAATGGGGATAACATTCAGACTCAGTACGGTACAAACGAGGCCAATGAACAGATGAACAAGTTCTTGGAGTCTTTTATTGACGTTCCTTATGAGCTTCCAGAGAGGAAAGAGTTAGTGCAGCAGACGCCAGAACAGATCCCACACGAGCCACATAATATTCTCAGCACATGCAACAAGATCAATGATGTATCTGAAACAGGAATTAAGATTAGGACACGACGGGCACAAGCTCCTGGTTGTGCTGAGAAGTTTGTAATGCAGGGTGAGGCTTCAAGAAGGTTGCGACTTCAGGTTCATAAGTCAGAAGCTGACAGCACACAAGTCCAATGTATCAAGAAAGAGGTGAGAAGAAGTAACAACAAAATGTTTTAAATGGGAACCCTTCATATGCATTACAACAATTCCTAACTCTATTTGTTATGCTTTAAAATAGATTCAGGTGAAGGACACTACAAGGGAGACTATAACAAAAGGATGTGGAAATGTCACCAAATCAAAGAGCAAGACCAGTTTCATTGCCAAGAAGATTGCAGCTATGGGATATTCATACAAAGGGCTTGTCAGAGCGGGTGTGGTAGCGCTTGTGTTTGTGATGTCGGTTTGCAGTGTAATCGCATAAATCCGATGTTTGTTCGACCATTTGTATGATGAAGAATAAAGAAAGTGCTTTACGGGTTGAGAATGCGGGTTTGTGTATAATAGGGTCTTGGCTAGGTTCTGCATCTGTTGTTGTTGGTTCAAAGCCTAACCATGGCCAGTTTAGTACTTAGGAGGGTATAGTAGTTAGTTAACATATACGACAATTTACAGTTGGTATGTTTAGATGTAAGAGGTTATCTAAAGCCTTTTGGAAGTTTATTGCAGACCACATGCGTCTTCAGATTGTGTTGTGAAACCGTTCGTGATTTGGTGCTAAGTGGCACTAGTATACTCCATAATTTTTAATCAGGCCTATAAATAAGTTAATAAATCTATAAGAGTTCTAACTCATTTTGATGGATTTTGATCAAGATGGATCCATCTATCGACTTGATTCACACCAAGCACTACTCGATATTTAGAAACCGTGGCCATATCGTGTTCATCAACAAATTTGCAAACATTTTTGTTGTGGCTATTTCTGTAGCCGATAAATACCATTACTTAATACCTAGAAGCTGCAAAAAGAGCATTTTTCAATAGTTTCAATTGTTTGTTTTTCATATACGAACACAAAAAACGTGTTTATGCCAACATGAACGATCACAAATTTCAAATAACATGTATGAACTTCAATTCTGATGCCTAAATCATAATTGACCAATTCGTAAGTTAGTCAACTGTTAACGTATTTCTACTGAGGCTGGCCGTATCAGCCGATAGGGTTTATAAAAAAAAAAAAAACTGTTAATGTACGATCAAAATTGTTGAATTTAATAAATTAAGTCATTTTATCGCTAAAAACTACTATTACCTACATTTATTCTATTAAATATTACAGAGTGTGGAGTGTATAAAGTATAGTTAGTTAGAGTTTGTTATGGTTTATATGTGTATACTGTATAGATTTACTTGTACCAACCTTTTTACTAATTATCGAGTATACAATTTAAATTGTTTTTCCCTTCGTGAGTGATGAGTTTTTTTTTTTTTCAAAAATATGAGTTCCTAATCCACCCATTGGTTCTCGATTTTATTAATTTCTCGTTTGATTATTTTGCTTACCGAACTGATTATAAGATTTGGACTTAATCATGTCAACTTAGTTATCGTCTTTGGTATTATGTTTTTTGTTTGATTGTTGTAGTTCACAAGAAGATCACATAATATAGATAAATCACGCCAACTTATTTCTCGTCTTCGGTCGTTTGACATCATGATTTCCATATATCACACAAATCTTTACGGATGACGCTCAATATAAGATATATGCTGAATTTTATTAATGGTACTATTCTTAAACCTCCTAATAACTATCGTAATCTGGATCTTGGTCTAGGTATAATGATATGGTTGTTCTACATCGATTATGAGTATTATCTTGGTTGTTACTCATGCTTATTGCTAAATGTTTTTGGAAGAATCTCATGCTTACCGTTAAAATAGATGATGCTCCTTAAGTTTGTAAAATAGAACTAACGTTTGAGTTCAATGCTATCAGGTTCTATGGATGTCATTACCTAACATATTCAATATTTAGAGCTATATAGAGTATATATATACAATATATAGTATTTTTTTTATAACTAAAATTTGTTCAAATCCATTATAGTATGGATTAAAATAGTTTACGGTAGTTGATAACTAATTTTTACAATGTAGACTACGAAAAAGTTAGATAAAAATACAACTTTTCAGAATACAAATTGTAGTTTAGTAGTTTGTATCGGTGTTGTATCATATTTTAGATTTAAACCAATAATACATGCATGAGTACAAATTACAATTCTTTCCAATATAACTAAAAACATCGTAAATGAGTAAAATATGTAAATTCGAATCTTAACGCCATTGCAGTTGGACTCATGTCTCCACATGCGATGCACCGAACACCAACTAACTTTATCTCAAACAATTTTTAGGATTCACGTATCATGTTCATGTTTATTTTAATTCAAACTCAATTATATTCTGATTTTAATTACCAAAAAGGCGGCGCACACTTTTAAAGCGTAATATACAAATTAGTGATTATGATATGACTCGATTGCATGAAAATATATATTAACAAGGCACTGCATGAAACAAAAGTCTATTTATTCAAGCACATATAGAGTTTTTAGCTTAGTCAATATGGCTTTTCTTTTTTTGACTTTTTGGATATACTTTTGAATCAGATTAAAGTGTCACGTTGCCGGTTGGTATAAAAGGAAACTTCATGTTATTTCCAGATCGATTTGCGAATTATTTCATAAAACCATCTCTTATATTTGTTTTATATATATCAATATATACCCAAAAAAAAAAAATCTTAAAATTAAACCAATCAAATAAAACTCTAGATTCTTGGCTTAGTTTTTGATTCGTCATACTTTTACTTTTTTCGGATTATGAATTTTGAGATAAAGAGACCAGTCAACAATGAGAGTTTTGCTATGTCCTTTTTCAACTAAAACGATAGTTTCATTGTTTAGTTCAGACTTTAGACTCAAACAATGAAAACGATCGGATTTGAACTATGTCAAATTATTCACGACTTCATAGTTCATTTATAGGTAAAAGGTACATGTACCAAAAAATTATGTCCGAATTCGCAGTTTAAACCAAACTTACTTGATAACCAAAAATAAATAAATAAACCAAAGTTACACAAATTTTGTGAGATAATATTAGCAAATTTACCAAAAGTTGGGCAAAATTTCTTTTTCAAAATTTAATTTGCACATAATATATATAGATGAACCAATTTATACAAATAACTAAATTAGATATTGAGTTGAGTCATTCGAAATCGGTTTGCTCTAATCTAAGTGCCGTAGAACAGCATCAAAGTATTTTTCGACGTAGACATCTATTATCTACGTACGTACGTGGAAAACCATTTGAGTATATTTGTAGAAGATTATTTCAAAACATTCTGATATATATATTTTCAAAGTTTATAAGCAAAGAAAGAGAACAAATACTAAAGATTCCTAGAAATTCTTGCCTAACTCACCAATAAACATACTTTTGTCAAATCAAATTTGGATAGAAGATGAGATGCATACATAGACACGCACATATATGTATGCATGGAGCATGTTGTATTAGCTGACTCAGCTCCAGGTGTTTGGGCACATGTAAACATGGACCCGAACTGTTTACCTTTTTTTTTTTCTTTTCTATAGATTATAAAATAGATTACTTCGTAAAGATTTTTAAGAAAATGTTAAAACTGTTGAACTACAAAGGGGTTCCAATTCCAAAAAGAAATAAAGACATGGTAAAAGTTAGGCTATTATAAACCTATTATATCATTGGAATGTTGTCTATAATTTAAAACTTAAACTTCGACTTAAATTCCTTATGAATAACTAGAAAAAATACATTAAGTACCAAGCATGGATTATATATACAATGAGAATCTGAGTGAATTCTCTGCACTTCTTTCATCTATCATTTTCTTGTAGCTAAGTTTGTCTTAGTGGTTAATTAGCCGCAAATGCGCTATAAAAGGTTCACTTTGAATTATACTTTATACTTATGTTTCATCTAATTGTATAGCTTTTAATTATATATGTATAATTCTATTCACTCTTTTCAAAATAATATATATATATATATATATATATATGTCTATATCAGTATATGTCACTATGTCTGAAAGTCTATATAACTAATAGGGCACATTGATAGTGATATCAACCAAATGGATATGATGATCTACGTGCCCATGATTTATTGATTAACTTCAACATAATTACGTAAATTAACACACGTACGATCGAGTGAAAAAACAGCTATTGGTCTACAAGAGTTGTGCCAAACAAGAATAATTTGTCCAAATTTTAATCTTAAAGCATCCCACGTGATTTACACCATGCCAAAGGTTCTCACAAAATTTTAAGTCCACAATTTGTTTTTCATTTTATTGGGCACTCCACGTTGCATCCATCCCCAAAAATTGCTTTTTAAGAAATGGAAATGCTACTTTACTATTTTTATGAAATATCGAACACATTGTTTAGTGAGTCTTCTAGCTGATTAGATAGTTCTCACTTCCCAATATCGAGAATACAATTTTAAACGAAACTTGTGATTAAAAGGATTTTGATGCTTCTTCTAAAAGGGGATAAATCAAATCAACCAACGAAGAAAAACTACGTAATAGTTTCCATACAATGTATACTAGTATAGTTTGATTTGTCTTTTCTAACCACTTTGAACCACAAGAATTTACTTGGACGAACGAGAAGGCAATAATACAATTTCTGAACAATTGTAATTATTTATACGATTACATTAAGAAAAATTAGGGTACCGAGTAAATAAAGGTAAAGGTGTATCACCAAATTAACAGTGATAGAATATAAATACATTCGTTTCAAAATGTGCCAAAACTTAATTAAGCTTTCAACTTTGTAATGTTACTAATACTAAGTATTTTCTTGATAGATAAAAAAATTAGCTGTCAACAAAATGTATGGTAGAGATGATCACGCGTCGTCTAATCATCTTTTTCTCGAACTAACATTGGTTTATATTAGACATACGTACGAATAGGAAAAATTGGAAGAAAATTACTATAGAAAATAAAGAAAAAATGAAAAAATTATAAATGTAAATCAATAAAGTCGGTGAGTATGATGCAAAGTATTGTCCTTTTCGATGCCAAAGATTATTATCTCATGGTCCTATTCCTTTTATTTATATATAGTTTCCTCGTTATCAAGAATATACGTTTTCTCCCATGAAAAAATAATAGAAGTATGACAACTGGAGGAATTTACAAAGAATCCATTGTTGTGAATTAGAATATAATTAATACATATGTGGTTCGTTCGTTATAACTTAAATTAAAATTTGATTTCAGATGGCTAACTGAAGAAACTGACACGACAAAAACGAACAACAACATCCGGAAACTAAATTATAATGTTGAATTCATCGAGGTTCACCAATCCATACAGAAATTAACAAACGAACTATAATTCAACGATGACATTACAAAATCATTCAAGGTACTTGATCAAGACCATCCACATTCTATGCCTATAACAAAACCTACCGACCTCGGACCATTCTTGTCCCCGGCCTTCTTCAAAATATGGTATTTTTGCAAACAGTACATAAATAAATAAATAAAATCGAAAAAGTTGTTTGTAAAATAATTGCAAAACATAATTAGTGGTGAGAATAAATCTATATATAAGGTACAAGGGTGAAGGGGTGTGTCTATATATGTTGGATGATTAGTTTCTGCCATGTGCTATGGAATCAACCTCTTATGCTTTATGTTCTGTTTAGTTCCTACCTTATACTAAAAACTTTAATTATTCATCAATAATTCTATATTCCTCCTTCGTCTTTTTTTTAATATATTTTATTGTTTCATATAAATACTCGCTCTCTCTAACTCATTCTCTCCATAACATAACATACCTCTCTTCCTAGTTCCATTTATAATCGTCGTATAACAGATTCTTAAAATATGGGTGAAGAATTAAAACCAGTAAGCTTCAAAGCTCTTCAGTATTCTTTATTTGCAACCAAATTATATACATATGTGTCATTAACTTTGTAGTTGATGTTTCCATTATTAGGAAGCAAAGGAGGCAGCGTCTGCTCCAGAGGCCGTCCCAGGGCCAGCCACGGCGGAAGAAGAGGAGAAAAAGAAAGATGTGGCGGAGGAGAAGAAAGAGGCAGCTGAGGAGGAGAAACCAGCGGAGGAGGAGGAGCCACAACCACCACCACCGCCTCCACCATTCATACTCTACGTCGACTTGCATTGTGTAGGATGCGCTAAGAAGATTGAAAGATCTATTCTAAAAATCAGAGGTACATAAATATATAAGAATGATATAAATGTACTATATATTAAAAGAATAGAAAACTCTATTCTCTATTTTAAAATAATAAAAACCAATGGATTCATTCCTAAAATCCTAACTACCTAAATATTCTTTTATAAAGATCCATAAGCAAAATAAATAATAATTATTAAACTTTTAACTGTAAAAATGTGTAGGTGTGGAAGAAGTGGTGATGGACATGAATGAGAACCAAGTGACGATAAAGGGAGTGTTGGATCCGCAAGCTGTGTGCAACAAAATCAAGAAGAAGACTAAAAGAATGGCCAAAGTCCTCTCTCCGCTTCCGGCGGCCGAGGGAGAGCCTTTGCCACCGATCATAACCTCTCAAGTCTCTGGCGGTATCACCACCGTTGAGCTCAACGTCAACATGCACTGCCAAGCTTGTGCTGACCAGCTCAAGAAGAAGATTCTCAAAATGAGAGGTACATATATATACTTTTATTTTTATCTACTTATCAAAACCAAAATATTCCTTTATCAATATGAAGTTTATCATATTTTTAAGAATAGGTAAAATCCAAAACATATTTCGGTTATGTGTAAATGATAAATGGAATTTTCAGCTATAATATATATTTCTCACTATCTAATCAGATGCACCCATGTAAAAATAATATATCATTCTGCATAGGTGTCACTTTAAATTCATTATATATCATGTCAAAAAGAAGAGTCACTATATATCTCGTTGGCATCACGTGCATGTTTTAAACTAAAATTTGTTGATGACAGGAGTCATGAGGTTTAGTTTTTTAGATGCGTTTTGGTTTCTAAGATTCTAAATCGCTTTGTTCAAAAGAATTGATTAGTATTAGAAACTTTCCGTAAAAGTTAATTAAGTCATTCAAAATTTTGTACGTAAGATTATTATAAGGTTATTATAATAGTGAGTTTGAACGTTAAAAAAATGTGTTAGTATTGTCGCTAAATACAAATTAAAGAATATGGTTATCATGCAAATCGTTGTTGACAAAATAAAATAAAAACATATGGTTCTATTTGAATAACCGACTAATATTGTTTTCTAGGGGTCCAAACAACTGTGACGGAGCACACCACCGGAAAAGTGATAGTGACCGGAACAATGGACGCGGAGAAGCTTGTAGATTACGTCTACCGTCGAACCAAAAAACAAGCCCGGATCGTACCTCAACCTGACCCGGAACCTGAAAAACCGGCCGCCGAGGAAGAGAAGAAGGAGGAGGAGGGCGGGGAAGGCGATGAGAAACCGCCAGAAACCGGAGAGAAGAAGCAAGAAGAGAAGGAGGGAGAGGAAGGTGTCGGCGGAGAAGAAGCGGCGGCTATGGACGACGGAAGAGACTATGAAATGGCGGCGATGGCGGAAGAGGAAGGGATGAAGAGGATGATGTATTACTATCAGCCTTCATACATCATCGAAAGGGTTCCACCGCCGCAGCTTTTTAGCGACGAGAACCCTAATGCTTGTTGCATTACTTAATTAATTTGGTCTTACCGAAAATATATATACTATAATTAGGATCATCATTAATTACGCAAGAAAATGAAAAAAGAAAAAAATAGGTAAAGAATGTGTAAACTATATATTATTTGTTATAATGTGTGTTTGGTATCTTTATAATTGTTGATGGATACGTTATTACACTTTGGTATATACGTGACCGCAACTGTAACAACGATATCGATACGGAATCTATCTATTCAAATTCATGTAAGAATATGTTATGAATTTGTTTTGTATATATTCTTGAGGAAACTTTTTATTTTTAGTAATTAGGAAATAAAAGAGAGAGGAGATTCAAGTGGGGATCAATGGGAGATCTACGTGGGTCTGCACATGGTGTGCTTCTTCTTTTTTACTTTTGCTACGTCAATCTCCATTTTTGGACGTGGCAGCTTTTACAGCCTACCTTGTCTATTAATTCTTCTCGACCTCTCATGTTTTTTTTTGTTCTCTTTACGAATAAAGATTTAAATAAAAAGTGGGAAAGGTTTCGATGAATATTTGGTTTCCAAACTAATATATGTAATGTATTTGCAAAAAGACTTGTTTGGGTTGTATGGGATAACCGGATAGGTCAACCTATCGAGTGAGGTGGAGATTCGATGAGCTAGAACTTGGATTGGATCACAAAGCCCACAAGAGAGTTGAGCTAGTCCAATATTGACAACTTCGAAATCTACAGAAACCGTAATGCATTAATGAAAAGAGATGGAGACAAGATCCTCTTGAACTTTTGTTGACTAGAGAGTGACAAGGATTCCTCTTAGCTATCTTCTTTATTTGTATGTTTCAACGTGTTGTGGTTTCACAAACAAATAGAATATTATTACCGTAATCACACATTAATTTATTTCAACAAAATTTACATTTTTCTATCTATATTATCTATTTTAAAGTCATATAAATATATAATAGTTGATGTACATATTTAAATATGTAAAGTTTAAAGGTCACCGTCACCGGTTCGAGTAACGTTTGGGACGAGACCATATAACATGCTTTGGTTTTGAGTTTGAAAATCTCGGATCTGAAAAGATATATGGGTTTCGGCCCAGAACCATTTAGTTATTAAAACAAATATCTAAAGTTTAATTTCTTTTATCATAACATTTATATATATTTAAGTTTCTTCGCTCCATATGTATGTTAATCCCTTATTTTTATTTCAATTGGGGGATGAAAACATAGAAATGGGAGATGTATTATGAATATGTAATTATCTTTCAGGAACATATTAAATGTGTTACAGCTGTGTGTGTGATAATTCCCTAAACCTTCCATGTATTCTTGTTATAACATAAAAGTCTACAGACTTGAGATTAAGAGAGATTATTACATTAGTTGTGTTAGTTTTTGATTTATTAAGAAATCCATGCTGTTTAAAATAACAAGTGATGAAAATGGACTGAGCTTTTAACAATTTATATCATGTTATTTTTTTTTTTCCCGATAAAGACATACTATCTTTACATGATATCAAATTATTATTATTATAAATCACTATTTATCAAAGGTCACCACATGTTTTTGGCCAAACTTTGCCAAAATGTTGTATGGCTATAATTTGATGAAACTGTGATCGAGCAAGAGATTTTTCATAAAGCCAAGGCCCTTATCTATCCACCAACACACTTGAAGAATGTCAATTGTTATACAAAGATAACAAGTTTTTTTTAGCATATATGCTACGTTCATGGTCTCCCAACTACTTCGTGTCGGAACTTAGTATATAATAACAAGCCTTTTGGATAAATTTTGCAAACTTGAACAATTCAGGAATAGCCTGAACATGAATGCTACACGTTTTTACTTTTACCAAAATAAGTAAAAAAAAAAAAAACAGTAAAACAAAGAACATATATTTGTTATCTTCCTATATAACAAATTAACTAACATCATGAGCATTAGTTTTTTTTTTTTTTTTTTCTAATAATACATCATGCAGGATGTCTTTATTTCCCTAGGGTCTACATTCCACAATCATACATGTCGTTGGATTAATTATTGGCAAATATTTATTTGAATAGACTATTCCAATTAACTGCTTACCAGTACGATATAATATTAGATGATTAAATCACTATTTGATTTTATATTTTTCTCTACTTATTATAACTAAGAGATTCGAGACTAAAACCCGTACCGTTCCAACCTAAAAAATATTATATACAAATTTTTGTCCAAAAAAAAATGACTAGCATTTAGCATTTCGCATTGATCTTTTACCTGAACTAACATGACAACTCATTTCTCAAATAAAAACTACTATAAAACCACTTGGTATTTACTTATATTTTCACTCAAGAATTTTTGTAGTCATTTTTATTGTAACAAAACCAGATGCGCTATTAGACTACAAAACTAATTATACTACTAGTCAGTCTCCTAGCGCTTCCACTACATCGCATTCAACTGCAACTCTGCAAACATTGATTTTATTCTCATCCAAACAACAAGATTAGCAAATGTACGTGAGGACCAAACCATACATGTTCACTACTGATTATTTTTATAAATTAGATTTGTTTATTTAATTGGATCATCTCTCTAATAATTCAAAATCCCATCATAACACCACATGGAAATAGTTATATCCCGATGTGATGTTTTGATGTTCTACCCCGAATGGTTTAGCGTACATCAAAGCTTTTTTTTTTTTTGGGTAGGATTAGTTAAGGAGTTTTAGATTAAACCTCATAAGGCAACATCTATCTTCTTTTTTTCTATATAGGAATCTGACAATTTTCAGAAGCTTTGATCAGACATTTTCTACTATATTGGGTTGTCCACATTGATTGCATTGTCCAAATCATGGCATCACATTCAGACTCTTCTGGCGTTAGTCTCCCCTAGCTACTTCTTGCCCACTCAGCTAGCTCTAATAAAATCACCATAATTCATATTTCGAACGATCTTGCCCATATCCCACCATTTCTATCACATATTTAATGAAACATCGTCGTAGATTCAATAAAATCAGTTTTATTAAAATAGCACTTGTTACATCCCATCCCACCATCTCTATTTAGTTTTACAATTCAGTGTATAATATATTTCACTAAAATTGTCATAACAGTAAACAGTTTAATAAATAAAATTAACAGTTACGTTATTTAAGATTAATCATATGATAATGAAGATCAACTACATTCTAACGATGCTTCATCTTTTTTTTTCTTTTGTTAACCCAACAAAAACACTGTTAACGATCCTATACGGTCAAGTTTGTTTACAATGTGTATAAACTTTACTATGTTTTGGCTCATATATTTTATTTAAAATATTTATAAAATATCACTGCTAGTAAAATCTAAAATAAAATAAAATTTATATGATAAAAAAAGAACTCCCAAGAATAATAATATTACTAAAATCAGTTAAGTCGGTAGATCTGACGGCTAAAATAATTTATGACCAGAACCTACCAAAAAGTTATGGCCACTAGCTTCAAAGCCAAGACTCTTATCTATAAAAAAGACACCATATCTGAAAAGGTAACCACATTGTCCTGTCTTGCAAGCAAATTACAAAAAAGATCATAAATAAAAAAAAAGGTTTAGAGAATTTTCTTGATACACGTCAAAGCAAAATCATCATCATCAAAACGTACGTCATGATAACAGTTGCCATAGCCGCTGAGTTGCTTGAAGAATACACGGCGGCGCTCACTCGCATCACCGCCACACTCCTCCCTCTACCACCGACAAGTCGCCGCCGTAGCGTCAGAGCTCCCACCACCAGAGCTGACTCTCCCTTGCCTCGTAACGATAACTCATCCTCACGAGCTCCAAACTACGCCGCTTTTCTCTTGAATTTCTGATTTATTTTATTTTTAATTTTTTGGAATAGACTAAAGAGATTTTTCGAAGTTTCTTCGTCTTCACTGTAAATTACGGATGATGCTTGTGTTATTAAATTGGAATTTTCTATTTATTTTGGGATCGGAGTTGGTTTTGTTAAGTCTTTTTGCTACTAAATAATCATAAGAAATTTGAAACGGTAAAGAATGTAAAACAATAGAAAGGAGAGTTTATTCATATATCATTGATGACATATAACGCAATAACATTGTGGATATGTATACAATCTATACAATAATAAATGTCATCACGTTAAAATAAAAAAACCAACAAAACTGGATATTTTCGTTTTTTTTTTCTTTCAAATAAATATTTTCAGTCATTTCGTTTTTTTTCTTTCTTTTGTTAGATAATTGAAAATTTTCAAGCATCTTATATAAAAAGGTAAATTAAAAGAAAAAAAAAGTGTGTACGATGTTCAGTAATAGTCTTCACGCAAACTCAAATGGTATTCTTTTAGGATATTGAGAGATTAACAACTATAATTGTGTGTGTCTTGAATCCTCTTGTCTTATTGTCAACAGGATTCCCCATTAAAAAAAAAAAAACAAAAAAAAGTGATAATATTTTTACTATTTGTTATATCGTTTTATTAAAGAATAAAGAATTGGGGTTTTGTATTTTGTGAAAAATGAGACCGACATGATGGGAACGGGACCGAATCACATGTTCATTTAAGAAGAAATGATTCAGACGTAGAAACAATGGAATGGCTTTGTGTTACGAACTGACAAATGTTAACACTCTTGAAAAGCAGTGTACTGAGCCATATTTGTTATTTTACCTTCGAGCATGTGTATCATCATGTGGTGATCAGAAGCTTGCGATCATGGGCTTATTTCAAACCTTTTTGAATTCATCACTAATAACATATCGACATCTTGTTTATGTAAAAACATTTCTGCTTGATTTGATCCTCCAACACTATATTCTTCCACTTAGAATGCAAATTATATATATATATATATATATATTTGTCATCAGATAAACTAAAAGCTGACTCAAATGAGCCAACTCGATGGACAATTGTTTACAAACTTAATCATATGCGTACTGGAACGAGGTATGCATGCCAAAAAATCCGCTTTTACATTCAGATTTCTAGGAATAATTATAGTTGTTGTAATTTTTTTTTTCTAAAACCATAATTTGTAGTCTAATTTAGAGAATTGTTTTTTTCATAAATGCAACTTCAAAAAATAATAATCTATAGAGGACTTCCATATTATCCAAAAAAAAAAGAAAACAAGAAGTGTGATTGAAAGGAGATTGGAAAGCACTTTCGTCTTACTTGTCACTCAAATTGTCATTGACCTCATCTTTGCTAAATTTGTATTTATTGTTAGTTATAAATAGATGGACGATCATTTCACGGATTCACAATTTTATAGTAATTATGAATTATTTTTTTGGTTTTAGAAAATAATTGTGTGTTCGATTGGTATGACACCTCGTACAAAAATATGAGGTTTACGCAATTGATGTGACTTGTTTCTTGATCGTACATACAAATTTATGGGATCATTTAATCTTACTTTTCTTTCACGTTTCTTGGGATGCAGAAATGAACATATTTCATCATTTACGGTTTAATCCGAAAACAGTATATAATTGGATTACATCAACATGTTTGCTTGACCATTCTTAGAAAAATGATAACACTTCAGCTACGAATCAAACGAATTTGAAAAGGGATAAACACAATTCAACCAAAGAAGGTACAATGGCGAATGGATTTGTTGGCTATTAACTAATCCATAACTCTTTTTTTCTTAGTGATAAAAAAATCTTGTAGCGTATATGATCAATTTATCCCAAGACAAGATAAATCTAGGCAATGTGTTTAAGGATGTTATGGACAATTTGTTGAAGACAATCATTAGATGGGAAGACAAGCTAGCAAACCATCGACACTCAACCCAAAGGAGATGGGATTTTACCTTTACCTAATGTGATGTTCTACCTTAAACATTTTGACTCCAATGGTTACAAGTAGACTTCTATTTTTGCGGTACGTATGTAAATCACTGTTTATTTTTGGACTTCGTTTTTCCTATTATCTAACAAATGTTTAGAGGAGCTTAAGAGGATGTGTAACATATACTTCTTTTGAAAAAATTGTTGCATCATATATGACTATGCAACGATTAATTATTACAGTGATTTGAGAAGACGAATTAATGTATGTGTCCTATATACATTGCATACACTTACTATTCTTATATTACACAACAAAAACTATAATTCACTTGGAAAAGTTGTTACTGAATCACAACACTTGTTTTGGCCTAATCTCGATCCCTTGAACGATAATTCCGCCTTTCCAACCGCCATCTCTTGTCTCCAAGATGCTCATTTCGAGCTCCTCCTCATCAAAACCAACATAATATTCACCGAGTTCAATCTCTAACCACCCATCTTCTCTAGCCTCTTGCATTCCCGACTCAAGAAACACTCTTCTTTCGCTATAAACATCGGTTCTCGTGGATCGAAAGCTTACCTCCAAAGGCAGAGACTTAAATCCAAAGGCTCTCATTTCTTGTTCTTTGAAAACAAGGTAAGCTCCATAAACGGTGTCTTTGGAAAGAAAGGATGTGCTTATCTTGCCTCGGATTTCAAACCAACACACTGCTAGAAGTCCTGCCACTTCCTCGAACCTGTTATACAAAACTAATCGAAATCAACACTAAATCTTTGGATTACAAGAAGCAAACAATGGAGACGAAACAAACTAACCTCGAGTCCGGAGTCGAAATCCATATCCAAAATTCAGGACTATCAACCCAAGTAATTTCTAGTTTCCTTGCAGATAACATCCAACATTTCTTCCCCCTTCTTTTCTCCATCCAAAAGCTCTACATACAAAATTTTAAAACAAAACTTTAAATATTTTGTTCAAACAATATATTGCATGCATCATCCATATAACATTCTTCTCAAACAAAACTCTAGAATCCATACATAAAAATAAAACATGGTAGCATAGCCATATCTACGTTGAGTCCAAATCCGAGTTCAAACGCGAGTAACGCATATTTGATGACAAACAAAAAGAACATGTTATAATGTGAAAACATTACCTTTCTTCCATCGTCGATGAGAAGAGGAGATTCACATAGACGAAAGAAGAGCTGCTTGTTTGAAAACGTAGATAAAGAATGATCCATATACATACGAGAATCTGAGGGGAGAAACCTTTCCCAAGCTGTGTTAGAATCCGCGGCGGTGCGGAGTAATCTAGAGACAGTTGAGATACGACAGGCGTCGTAGGGGCTGGTGAATGATATCATAACGGCGATGCATTCTTCCGGTAAATCAAGAAAATTCATATGTAATAATTGTAGTAAAAGGTCAAAACTTAGATGGTAATATAACATATATATATCCCTCTTAATAGTTTTTGTATAATCGTTCAGAGTGAAAACTTAATTGCTATTTATTTACGCCCTCTCGATCACCTGAAAAAAAGGTAAACGTCCACTTTCCATTTCTAGTTTTTTTTTTTTGTTTTTTCAAAACTTTTTCCAAGATTTGAATCCATGCATTTCTCTTTTTTCAAATATTTGGGTTTACTTAATTATTTTTAGATCTATCAGTAATGTATTTGATAAAGGTATCTTGATAAACATTTTTCATTATTTTACAATGTCTTTGCATCAAGAATACTTTTGAAAACTTGAGGTATATATTATATGTACTACACTCTTTCTTTGGGCTAAATCATGACAACACATTGACCCCATGATGTTTTTTATTCACTTACTTTCACAGAAAATGATGGCTTATGGACGTGTTTACAGTTTACTCATTGTAACAAGAATGACGGAAAAAAAAATTACCCTCTTTATACATTTGTTGAAAAACTATCTATTTTAATTTTCCTAGGATAGGGATAAGTTTGTTGTATGGTTCAAATGAAGATATCAACTTTATTTATAGATATGAATGATAATAGTTTGGTCTTTTTTTAATTCCTTTGGTTCATCTTGTTAATGTTCGGGATTTGTTTGGATTGGTATATTATATATAAATAAGTGTAATGAATATTTCTAAGAAAACGAAATGGTGTATCTAATCATAATGATCAATTCAACTTTCAATCTCACTACTAATTTTCTAGTGAAATTTTATAATATTTTCCATATAGAAATCTCCAGAATGATATATACCTACGTTACGTACATATATAGTAGGGGGTTTTTTTCGTCACGTAGAGTTAGCTATTCTCCGGTAAAATCAAATTTAGCCACAACGTTGAGCTGGCTACGTAATGACTTAGACTGTTGTATTAATCATTTAAGATGTCATCTTCAGTTCAACAACAACAACAACAAAGAAAAAACATTGTCGCGGTCGTAATTATGGAGTTCTCTTGTAGATAATATATACAACTGTGTTTTGCCATAGCTGGTCATATAAACAATCTTGTTTACAAATGTATAATTAACCAGCAAAGGAAACAAGATAGATAACGTAGTGTTGCTTCTTGCCTTCTTGGGACTTTGATGAGGTGACCAAATTAAAAGGAGGCCCAAATGCATAAATGTATTACGATTACATGTCCATGTATATGTTTCTTTTTTTTTTCTTAATTTTCTTGTAAGAAGCCATTTTGCGTGGCTTGTGATGTCAGCATATCACCATTCGTATCTAAAATCCACATGATGCATGCTATTCACAAACAACGAAAAATTACATTAATTATTGTTATTGTACTATATTGTGATTTTTTTTCTTGATTTGTGAGAAACTATATTATATGTGATCAATATACAGTGTGAAGTTAAAAGATCTCATCTCTTGTTTTTAGTAGTATATATATAAATATATTGGGATATCATACATAATTATATCCCACACGTTCATGGATTTCAATCATGTCATTAACTCTTCTGCTAATTGATTACACGTATCTTTATATTTATATGTCTTGCGATTCTCTATATTAACTTATAAAAAACTGTGTTTACTGATTCATTCTGATGATATACAGAAATATTTGTTCATCTTTTGTTTTTTTTTTCTTCCTCTGTTCATTTAAATAAACAGACATTGTTGTATACAAATTTTATGTATACATAAATAATCAACAGAAGTAAAATAAGACCAGAAGGAGAGACGCGGCAAAGAATATACTGTACATGCGTATATGTATATTGATGGAAACTTTGACTCAAGAAAAATATTGACAGATAAAAGTATATTTTTTTTATTCAGAATTTTTTTTATATATTTTCTCTAATAGGAAAGTACATTACACCAATACCTACTAATTTTCTTAATTAAAAATATAAATGATAATATTCAATATATATATTAAACTAAAATCTTCAGTCAATTCATATTACCAAAATAAGATGCATGTGTCGGAACCTGTCAACGACTGAATATAATATTTCACTAATTATTATATTCATTTCAACGCATGGAAAATGCGAGTTTAGCCAGCGAACATCCTAGTCACAAATATGATAATTTTAATAATGAGCATGAGCATGAATCACTAATTACTTCTTTTGTTTTAGTTGATAGTTACTTTTTATATGTTGACTATTGTTTTTCTCTATTTGACCAGCGTTTATATTTGAATCATTAGCGTTAATAATGACTGTAAATAGTATGTGTAGATTTTGGCGGATTTGCTTAATTATTTTCTCTTTCGATTTTTTAAATTAAAGGGTCAATACTCTCAGTAGTACAAAGCTTTATTAAATTTATTTTTCGTTTTAATTATTAAATAAATGTTTTTGAGGAAGGCACATTTATTGATGGACTAAGTAATTTTTGTTTATGTGAAATTTTTTAAACTAAAAGTATTTTATTAGTAAAATATTTGGTATCGTTACTATTAACTTTCAAATACTATATACTAAAACAATACTCCTTTAAATATGTTTATATTTTATATTGCGACTCGATTTTGTGCTTATTATTGAAATTCGAAAACTATTCGGTTTCTTAATAAGCCATACGAGAAGAAAACAAAAGGAAGAAGAAAAACAAAAGTTTTCAACAGCGTTTTGTCCATGTGATTTAATTATTGTGAGACACACGATTTAAACAATTATCCTTCATCATCTTCTCTTTACACTGTATGTGTCATCCTAGAGTTGTTGTCCCATCACACATATCTTGCGTTTTGATCTCTTCATTTAAATTGATTTATTTCTATGGTCAGTCACACCTACTAAACAGAAGGTTATATATTTTTCTTTTATTTTTTGAACAAGCAAAGGTTATATATTTTTCATGCCTTGCTATTGTTGGATTCTATAAGTACAAGTCAACTTTCCATTAGTATAATACTGTTCGCTTTGGGCATATAACTCAAGCCCGCACGGATTTATTGGGCTCCTTCCCAAAAGGCCTTCCCAAAAGGCCTCATACTAATTGGAGTTGGACTTGACTTATATATTAGAAACTTCTCTTTCTAATCTTCCGATGTGGGATATTGGTTTGTATTCCAATACTCCCCCTCAAACCAATATTCATTCCCCTAGGTCCACAATCTTGACCTAGGCTCTTATACCAATTGTTGGATTCTATAAGTCCAAGTCAACTTTCCATTAGTATGATACTGTTCGCTTTGGGCCTATAACTCAAGCTCGCACGGATTTATTGGGCTCTTTCCCAAAAGACTTCATACTAATTGGAGTGTGATTTGACTTATATATTAGAAACTTCTCTTTCTAATTTTCCGATGTGGGATATTGGTTTGTATTCCAATAGCTATGGATTTTTAATTGAAACGTAAACAAAACAATCGAGTAATAGATATGTGATTATTAATGCGAATACATTATTTATATAAAGCACAATGAATTATGAAAGTAGTGTTGACAAATAATGGTGCATATAAAAAATTTGAAAACGAGTAACTTAGCGCTATGTATATCACCAAAATATATTGGCCTTTCTACAACTCGTGTTGTTAAAACTTTAAGTATGGTTAAACATGTTTGAATCAATAATACAAGTGAATTATGATTAGAAAATGATATCGAATAACGCAAAAGTTAGAATAAAAACAAAAAAAAAGATCTCTTAATGATTTGTAAGATTAGGAAATAATAAGTCTTTAAAGCCTCCAAAGCATGTGGTTACCCAAGAAATGAGACTTGTTAACAAACTCAATGATACACCAGAGAAAAATATATATTCGCGATGCAGTGTTCAGAATTGGCTTGTCCCGAGTAAAAAAAAAAAACTCCAAGTCTTGCGTAGATGTTCCGCGAGAAAACGTCATACGATTCCCTGAAGGAGGAGGCAGCATCAGAGACTTTTGCATGCTTATTGACTATTTCCCTTATACACATTCCACTATACTATTAATAACTTCTTTGAACTGACTAATCAGTAACCAACTCTTAAACCAGAAATATCGATGTATCATTCCTACTTCGAACCTCCATTTTCAACAGTTATATATTAAGAGTTTCTGTCAATTTCAAGAATCATAATGACCAATGTCCCAAAGAAGTTCTGTAAATTTCTTTCGTGTACATTTTGTTGTTGTAAACGACCTATGATTCAATTTAGGTCTATATGGTAATATGAATCATCTTTGAGTTAAATGTGTGTTTAAAAATTTTTATTAAAAATTATTGATAAAAGAGATGCAATTCTTTGAGACATTTAGTAATTGAAATTGTTTTTCTTACAAGAAAGTATTTGGTTGGTTTGTTGTCAAAAACAAAAAGTATTTGGTTATAAGAGAAATATATATATATATATATATATATATATATATATATATATATATATATATCAACTAAAATGTCACGATAAGTAACCACAGTCTTCCATATGAAACATTTATAATAGAATTTGTTTTTGTTAGTTATGTTAAAAAGACTCAATCTCCATTGTTATAATTATTAACAAAAAAATCACAATGTACAGCTTGACTTATTAGTTATTACAATGGGAACATAATTATAAAAAGACAAAAAGACGATCTTCTGGGATTCTATATGCTTAATTAGCTAATATATCATCACTTCTTTTATTCTTATTTTTGTTATGCTGACAGATCTTGTACACGTTTTATTCGAGCGACCAAGACCTTTTTTCCTAACAGACCACATTAGTGAGTCTTAAAAAAATAAGATATTCTTCAGCTTTGGCTGATGTTGTGTCCGTTGAGTAATTATATTTTTTCAAAACGTACTTGTTATTGTGTTTAATTACGGACTTAACGCGATATGTTGTAGTTGGTATATAAGTTTAAAATAATCAATCATGTACTAAAGCGCAAAAAACAAGATGCGAATATCACAGTTTGAATCATTTCAGTCTAATTAAGTTTGTTTAGTCACGACGACTCACGGGAGTCACGATTTTTAATCATCCAATTAAATTAATCACAAAGTCATCAAAAGCCAACCGGTTCAGTCAAGACTATGATTATTATATAGTTATCAAGACTATAATTATTTTAATGATTAACAAAAATTAAAGGACGCGTGTGCCCTAGCTACGACCTCTCTGTCTATATAAGACGAAGTTGATTCATTGAAACTTCTCAGAGCTCTCTAAAGACTCTTACTTACATATCTCAAAAGTCTTAAACTTTTTTTTCTTTCTTAAACTTATTTATAACGTTCAAGAAAATGGCAAGTACCCTAATTGCACTAGTAGTAATCACACTATGTGTAGTAGCATCATTGGATGCTGCAGAGGGAAGATCTTTTAGATTTCCCACGAGTACTCCTCCTCTAAATCGTTATAGCTTTCCTCCTCATTTCGATTTTGGTGTTGCTTCTTCTGCTTATCAGGTTTGTGTTGTAATGTACTGATCATGTTTTTTATTCTAACGTACAAGTGTACTCATGTTTCGATGTTATGGTAAACAGTATGAAGGTGCAGCAAAAGAAGGAGGGAGGACTCCAAGCATATGGGATAAATTTACACATGCATACCCAGGTAAGGTTCACTACTTTTTTTATTTGTATACATCATATATATGTATATGTATAAAGAAATTATACTTTCCAACGTACGTGTCTAATTTCTATACGTAAAATTGTTATATTTTTCAGAAAGGACAAGCATGGACAATGGAGATGTTGCTGTAGACTTCTATCATCGTTACAAGGTTCGTGCATGCATGACTATGTATTTTCAGTATTTTTTTGGTCATTTTGAAACGTGATTCAGTTTAAAATATCATCTTTAAAAAATAGGTGGGGGAGACAGTATCTTCATATGCTTTAAATAAGTTAATAGTTATATCTTTTTTAATAAATTTCTTCTTGCAACAACTTATATTAATTTTAAATGGTAAAATGAACAGGAAGACATCAAACTTATCAAGGAAATGAATATGGATATTTTCAGATTTTCTCTATCCTGGTCAAGAATATTACCAAGTAAGTAAAATTATTTTAGATCTTACTACAATCATTTTGGAATCTATCACACGTACAACTGTTTTTTTTTATAGCCTTTTTCGAAAAAAAAAAGTTTTTTTCTTTACCGTTTCCAGATTTTAATTTTCAGGTGGAAAGCTAAGTGGTGGAGTAAATCAAGAAGGGGTACAATTCTACAAGAACCTTATTGATGAACTTATCATGAATGGTCAGAATCTTAATAGTTTACACATCAACTCTTTGATTTAAAGTGATTAGTTAAGTTTTATGTTTGCAATGTTTCTGATCACACTATATTCTTAAACATACATGCAGGTATAAAACCTTTTATAACAATCTATCATTGGGATATCCCTCAAGCTCTTGATGATGAGTATGGTAGCTTTTTAAGTCCTCGAATCATGTAAGTTAAAATTCACACATGATATATTTACCATGTATAACTTTAGAATATTGCTCTTACATAACTTTTTTTTTTTTCCAGAGATGATTTTAGAAACTATGCCAGATTTTGTTTCCAAGAATTTGGAGACAAGGTCCATTTGTGGACAACGTTCAATGAGCCATATGTTTATAGTGTTGCGGGTTATGACGCGGGCAATAAAGCAATCGGTCGATGTTCAAAATGGGTAAACAGTTTGTGTGTAGCTGGTGATTCAGGTACAGAGCCTTATTTAGTATCTCACCACCTTCTTCTTGCTCACGCTGCTGCCGTTGAAGAGTTCAGAAAATGTGACAAGGTAAAGAAAATATGATTATGTCTTCCTATGATTATATCAAAACGAGTTTGACCAGAATTAAAAATTTAACATTTTGATTTTATTATATTTGTGAAACAGATTTCCAAAGATGCTAAGATAGGCATAGTTTTGTCTCCTTATTGGTTCGAGCCATATGATATTGATTCTAATGCTGATAAAGAAGCTGTTGAGCGAGCTCTTGCTTTCAATACTGATTGGTAAGTTGTCATCTTTGTAATCCAAGTCCAAACATAACAAATGATTTTCTAATTTGTCTTTGTTTTTCTCTAACTTGTTTATCTTAACAATTATGTACTTTAGGCATCTCAGCCCTTTAGTTTTTGGAGACTATCCCAAAACGATGAAGACAATAGCTGGAAATAGATTGCCTTCTTTCACCAAAGAACAATCTATGATGGTGAAAAATTCATTTGATTTTATCGGAATAAATTATTATACAACACGGTTCGTCGCTCATGATTTTCACGTCGATCTTTCACGTCCTCGGTTCAAAACTGACCAACACCTCCAATACAAATGTAAGTACCCATAAAAATATTTGATCACTTTATAAAAAGATTGAAATATTCATGAACCTACAGCTAATGACTTTACATTTTATCACTTCTTTTTTTCCATCAGTGAAAAATCGTACCGGCGATTACATCTCATCAGAATCGGTACGACCCTTAATTAATTAATATCGCAGAACTTTATATTTAATTTGTATATTAAACATATAAATTAAACCTTTTCTCTTTTAATTTCAGGATAGCTCGAAACTTCTCTGGTCATATCCGCAAGGCTTACGAAAGATTCTTAACTATATGAAAAACAAATTCAACAATCCAACTATTTACATTACTGAAAACGGTAAGAAAACGTTAGAAAAACAATCTTGGACATCATTTTTATTAATTAATTATTAATCATTTATTCATGTGTTATTTTTGTATAATTAAAGAGTAACAACGTGTGGAATGTATAGGTTTTGATGACTATGAAGATGGAATAGTTACACGTGAAGAGATACTAGAAGATACAAACAGAATAAATTACCACCAAAAACATCTTCAACAACTCCAGAAAGCGATCACGTAAGAGATTTTGTCCTTGATCTCCTGAATAAAATTTGATTTACTAATATAATTCTTGGGATAATAAATTAATTAAATCTTATGAATACAGTGAGGATGGGTGTGACGTGAGAGGCTATTTCACATGGTCGTTGATGGACAATTTTGAATGGGAACATGGATATGCAACGAGATACGGGTTGTACTATGTTGACTATTCAGATGGTCTAAAAAGAATTGCTAAGAACTCAGCCAAATGGTTCAAACAATATCTTCAGAGATCCGAGAAGCCATTGTCGATGGTTGTGTTTGAGAGAGTCAAGAATTGGTGGGCTGCGTTACAGATGATCTAAGCTCATTTGGAGATTAATTGCGTTTTTTTTTTTGAGAAGTAGCTAATTCTTTATTTTTATCACATTGATGAAGTTTTTGGGATGAGTCATGAGTATATATGTTAATAGTGATGTGTACTATATGCTACTTGTAGAAAAGAACACATGTTCTTTTTGTTTATATATATAGAAACTATATCAAGCTTTCTTGTAGTTCGTATTTAACCACACTTCCATCACTAACACCCAACATAAGTGAAGATTTTCACCCATGCCATCATTGTGTTCATCCCAAACTTTTGCATCACTTAAGCATTCACCTAGATTTAGAAGATGAATAGAGTTATATGATTCCTATTTGATGTACCTTCTTCAACAATGTTTCTCTTCAAAAAACGAATCGTACTCTAGATTCCAAAAAAAAAATGAACCCTTTTTAGTTAGTTACTTTGCTACCTTAGCCAAGCAATCCTTTTGTGTGTGCTGACTTAAATTGTTTTTTCTCTTTCTCAGCGTTTTCGCGTAAATGCTCTTTGTTTCCCCTCTTATTCTTTGGCCGAGTATTTTGCGAATTAGCTTATCTTATCAATGTAGTTTTCATCTCTTCGGCTTATTTCCTTTTTCTTCACTAGTCGTACAAACTCTAGTTTTCTTTTCCTGCATGTCAGTCTCATGTGGGTTTCTATGTCCGTCCACTATATACACAACTCCTTATAACTTGGACTTCTCATTTTTTTCCAAAGGATGTTCATCATCACCCTCACGGGCCTGTTTAGTCCACAAGCATTTTTCAAGATCCAGGAGGCCCGTATAGGCCTATTTCATGAAATAGGATATAAAATCATTGTTCGTTTGCTGATTTAGAATTTTAGATAATTATTTTTATTCAGTCGATAGATTAATGATATTAACAAATTTATATGTGCCGTCAGCCTATCAGAATTGATCATAATATATTTGACTATCTTAATGACAACCTTGCATGGAAAGTAGGAGACTTGTTGACCTTAATCCATTGTATATGATATATATCACTTATTTAATATTGGCTAACTTAATTTCATTTGTATTACTTGATGCAAATTTAACATTACATTTTATGATATTAACATTTATCATAATTTATTGCAGCCGATACACAATATTTCCTATTTCAAAATCATTTACATAAATGATGGATGTAAATATATCAAATAAGCGGTGTAAAACAGATATTTTAGTGCAATATGGTTTACACCTTTCTTTTTGATGATATAAACAATACATTCAATATAAAAGTTTACCTAAATAAATATTTTTCAGTTAATCAAGATAACTGACATAGAAAAAAAATGCCGTCAGCCCACATAGATCACAACTGATAATTTTTTTTTGACTTTCTTCTTTGGTCTATTTGACGACCGTGTATTGAATTTGGGATCCATGATTATTTAATATTGACTAATTACTTTCTTCTATCCGACGACCATGCATGTGCATTATCGTTAATAAATGGCACAAGTTTTGGCTAAATTCAGTTAATTAAGAATTGCTGGATTTTTTGCGTAACAATTTTCTTTTACGTCATCTTAAATAATTACAGCCATTCGAAAAATGATATCTTCAGTGTACTGTATTGGTTTTTTTCTTTAGTTTATGGCATTTCTATGTTTTATCTTTAAGTTAAACTTTCTACCAAAAAACTTCAAGAATACTGTTTTATTTATGGATCTCTTACATGTTTTCTAGTTTGAGCGACCTAGAGTTTCGAAACACATAACAATATTGGCTAGTCTTGATTAATGTTGTCTTAACGCGATATGCTGTAATTGGTCTTATCTTATAAAAGTGTAAAATACAAGACGGGAATAACAGTTTGAATCATTCCGGTCTAAAATTTGTTGAGTCACACAATTAATAAAACAAAAGTCATTAAAAGGCAACCCGGTTCAGTCAAAATATGATTTGTTTAATAGTTATACTATAAAACTATTGTTAAGATTCCCATAGTTAACAAAATTTGGTACGCGTGTCTCCAATCTATATAAGAGAAGATGTATGCATTACCATTTCTCACAATCTTCTCTAACTATCATCTCACACTCAAACAAAAGTACAAACTAAAATTTTGTGTTAATTAGCTAATTAACAACGTACAAGAAAATGGCTATTAAGCTAATTTCACTAGTAGTGATCACACTATGTGTAGCATCATGGGATGCTGCAGAGGGAATTAGATCTTTTAGATCTCCTACGACTACTCCTCTAAATCGTTATAGCTTTCCTCCTCATTTCGATTTTGGCGTTGCTACTTCTGCTTATCAGGTTCGTTTGTTGTGTATTAATGTAGCTAATTATATAGTGTAGTTATTAGTTAAAACCGTATTGATGTATATGGATATGTAATGCAGTATGAAGGTGCAGTAGAAGAAGGAGGGAGGACTCAGAGCATATGGGACAAGTTCACACATGAATTCCCAGAAAGGACGAACATGGACAATGGAGATATTGCTGTTGACTTTTATCATCGTTATAAGGTTTGTGCATGCAATAACTTATACATTTGGTTACGTTAGTATATATTTCAGTGGAACAAAACTTTCTTAATGCAAAAACTTATACTAATTATGTAATTATTGGACAAAATGAGCAGGACGACATCAAGCTAGTAAAGGAAATGAATATGGATAGTTTCAGATTTTCCCTGTCCTGGTCAAGAATATTACCAAGTAAGTATTCTTAGAAACTATAACACAATCTCTCTTTACCTTTTTTTGTAATATGCTTTATTAACCTTTTCGAATATAATAAAATTTCAGGTGGAAAGCTAAGTGATGGGGTGAATAAAGAAGGGGTTCAATTCTACAAGAATCTAATCAATGAACTTATCGAGAACGGTTAGAATCATGTGCTATAAATTTAGAACTATAGCTTATAGCTTTGTGTTTGGAGTTTTTCTCATCCGACCTAACATACATGCATGCAGGTATAAAACCTTTTATAACAATTTATCATTGGGATATTCCTCAAGCACTTGATGATGAGTATGGTAGCTTTTTAAGTCCTCGAATCATGTAAGTCAAAAGCTTAGTTACATACATAACGTTACATATGATATAAGTATAAAAATTGGCCGTTGACATATTTTGTTGTTGTGTGACATTATACAGAGATGATTTCAGAAACTACGCCAGATTTTGTTTCGAGGAGTTCGGAGACAAGGTCAATATGTGGACAACGTTCAACGAGCCATATGTTTATAGCGTTGCGGGTTATGACGCAGGCAATAAGGCAATGGGTCGATGTTCAAAATGGGTAAACAGTTTGTGTGTAGCTGGTGATTCAGGCTCGGAGCCTTATTTAGTGTCTCACCACCTTCTTCTTGCTCATGCTGCCGCCGTTGAAGAATTCAGGAATTGTGACAAGGTACATAAGATAAAGCAATGTTTATCTAAAATATAGATACTTTAGCTTCATTTTTACTTATTAACTGTAATTGTGAAACAGATTTCACAAGATGCTAAGATAGGCATAGTGCTATCTCCATATTGGTTCGAGCCATATGACATTGATTCCAATGCTGATAAAGAAGCAGTTGAACGAGCTCTTGCTTTCAATACCGGGTGGTAAGTTTTCATCTATTTAACTTATTTCATGTTTTCAATTCACTATATATTTCTAATCTTGATTATCTTACAACTATATATATATAGGCATCTCAGCCCTTTAGTGTTTGGAGACTATCCAGAGTCGATTAAGACAAATGCTGGAAATAGATTGCCTTCTTTCACCAAAGAGCAATCTATGATGCTTAAAAATTCATTTGATTTCATCGGAGTAAATTACTACACTGCTCGATTTGTCGCCCATGATCTTCACGTCGATCTTTCAAGGCCTCGGTTCACGACCGATCAACACCTTCAATACAAAAGTATGTTCTCATAAAACAGATTTATTTGGCTCTCTAGTTTTCTTGTTAAGTAAAATACTAATAAACTGATAACTAATGCCCTTACATTTATCACCTTTTTTTCTTTTATAGTGACAAATCGTAGCGGCGACAACATCTCATCAGAATCGGTACGAACTTTAAATCACATAAATGATTCTTTCAAGTTTATAAACTTTATTTTAAACTTTATTCTAACCATCTTTTCTTCAACTTTCCTTCCATTTCAGGATGAAAGCAAAGTTCTCTGGTCATATCCGGAAGGCTTACGAAAGATTCTTAATTATATTAAAAATAAATACAATAATCCACCTATTTACATCACTGAAAATGGTAAGAACACATTAAAACACACAATCTTCAGTTCATCCTTTCTTTTTGTTTGGTAAAAGTTAATTATAATTTGAAAATGTATATATAGGTTTCGATGACTACGACAATGGAGAAGTGACACGTGAAGAGATTTTAGAAGATACAAAGAGAATAAACTACCACCAAAAACATCTCCAAGAACTTCAGAAAGCGATCACGTAAGAAATTTTCACTATCTTTGAATTAGAAAAAAACTGATTACCATATTTATGATTGATAAATATAGTCATGGAATATAAAAGATTTAACGTAACGTATACAAATATGCAGTGAGGATGGGTGTGACGTGAGAGGCTATTTCACATGGTCGTTGTTGGATAATTTCGAATGGGAACATGGATATGCAACTAGGTTCGGTCTTTACTACGTTGACTATGCAGATGGTCTTAAACGGTATGCTAAAAATTCAGCCAAATGGTTCAAACATTTTCTTCAGAGATCAGAGAAACCAATGCCGTTGGATCTGTTTGAGAGTGTCAAGAACTGGTGGTCTGCATTACAGATGACCTAAGCTCGTTTGGTTGGCAAAAAAACTATTCAATTGTAAAAATTAAGTAACTGATTCTTTATTGATAAATTTATTATTATAAGAATATACATGTTAATATTGAGATATACCATATACTATTTTCTGTATTGTTAAGTTTCCATTTTAAAGGTTCTTTTGACCTTATTCTTGTGTAATCTTATATAGTTTGTTCTTTTCATGAATAATATATAAATTTTTTGAAATGTTAAATTTATTAATCAAGAAAAAATAAATTATTTACAATAGTTTGGGAAAAACTATTATAAATATTCCTTTAGCATGGAGAGCTTCGCAGTGAAGACCATCGGGAAATATCGATGTCTTTCAGGATGATTCACGCATCGTCCTTCTAAGTTCTAATATCCCCGGTCCTATTTTATCCTTGGAACTTAAAGATCGTAACACCAAAAAAAAAAACATTAAACTATATATGTATATTTCTATATTTAGTAAGGGATTAATGACTTCAATTAATATTTTATAATATATGCTAGTTTTGAATTCAGAATAAATTAGGAAATTAATTTAAAAGTTACATTAAACATATAAAAGGATAATATTTATTTAATAGATATAAAATTTCAAGTATATATATATATATATATATATATATATTTTTGTGAAAGGGAAGATATATATTTGAACTTTTAGTCTTTCAAGAAACTACTAGACAATTTCCTTGTTACTTCTTTTCTTTGTCCAGATCGTCCATTTTTGGTGGCCGAGGCCCGAGAGTTTCATTATTATATATTTTGGTGCTTTCTATAGTAGGACCATCAGTGTACATAAAAATATAATTTTCAGGCAAACAAATTTTAAGAGAATAGGGTAGTCGTGGAATAGTTCCAGGATCATTCACCTAATCACCTTCTATTTTTATATAAGCAAAAAATTTATGTGTGTTTTAATCATATTTAAACAATACAAAACTTTTTTATTGGGTTTATATGGTAATTACTGTGAATAGAAAACGTGTTAACTTATGCATATAACACCAAGATAATAAATAAAAATAATAACATAATCTAAAATATTTTAAAAGTTTTTTTTTTTTTGTCGGCATTTAAAAGTTTCTTAGATCATTAAAAGTCACTTATTATTATTATATATGTTTGAATATAATTAAACCATTCATAAAGTACAAGCGGAAATAGTAAATACACTGAACCAATAAAAAGTTATCTTTCTTTTAAAAAATTTGGATTTATTTACAACTAAATTAGATCTGCCGCTAATATATTCTCGTAACGTTCTTCAGGACAATCTTTTTTTTTTTCCTTGGGCAAATTTAATTATCTTTTCACCGGCCAATTCATAAAAGTATGTTTGACGACGCAAGATGTAAATATTATTGTTAATTAAACAATTTTTTTTTTGAATTTAATTAAACAAAAATATTGTCAGTCGAGTAGTATTAGAAAGTTAGGATGTGCCAAAGTCATCAGCCCATCACAACTGATATTGACTAATTCTAATTGACGACATTGCATGGAAGGTGGGAGACTAGTGTGGCCACAGTTATCCTCTAATCAACTATGATTAGTTGATTACTTTGTATTGACTAACCATTGTATCATATTTGACGGACCTTGTATTAGCAACATGACCGTTACCTGGATTCGGATTAAGCCTCCTAGTCCTTCAAAAACACTAAAAGTACAATGGTAAGAAAATTAAATAAAAAATAATATAAACTGAAAATATATTCTTAGTTACCAGCAATCAGAAATTAAAATTACATTAAAAAAGTTTAGAAAATTTTATTAATATGACTGAAACACTCTGAGGTATTTAGATGTTCCCTATACATCATAATTTAAATTTACTTTATTTTAGATGAAATCTTCTGTTATTGGTAAATATATATATATATATAAAAAATTCATCACATGTTTTATTTCTCATAACAAATTTATTTGTATATTACTGTTTTGACCAGTGACTTTGAAACCTAACTCTGTTTATGATTTATTAGTTTGATCTCAAACAGGTGTACAATATTACATGACATTATAAGTGTTTTTCTATTTTATTAATACTTTAGCTTCTCATCCTTGTCTTTTTCTTTTAACTTTTTTAACTTGTCCACTAACTTCAAGAATATTGTATTGTTGACAAATTAAAATATGATACACGTTTACTAATATGAGCGACTGAGACTGAGAGCTTTCGAAACACAGAACATTGGCAGTAAGTAGTTTGTTAAATAAAAATATAAAATATTTCAGAATATTTTGTTCTGAGTTTCCCTACTTAACACGATATGTTACATTTTCCTCTTTTTGTAATAAGTCATGTTCCACTCGTAGTTCGTTTAGTCATAATAAGGCAACCGGTTTAGTCAAACTTTTCATTATTTAACAATTTAATTAAATAAATCTTTTCTTATTCCATATATGTGGTACGTGTGAGCCCTAGCTAGCTACCTCTCTCTCTATATAAGAGGAGATGCATCGCATTAACATTTCTCACAATCTCTCTAAATATCATCACTCTCAAATACGATAAACAATCTACAATACAATAATTAACAAACTAATTAACGTACAAGAAAATGGCAATTAAGCTAATTTCACTAGTAGTAACCACACTATTAGTAGCATCATGGGATGCCGCAGAGGGAAGATTTATAAGGTTTCCTACGAGTACTCCTCCTCTAAATCGTTATAGCTTTCCTCCTAATTTCGATTTTGGCGTTGCTACTTCTGCTTATCAGGTTCGTGTGTTATATGTACTGATGTTGTTACTTATAAAATAGAGTTGCACAAGTGTACTCATGTTTTGATGTATATATATGTCATGCAGTATGAAGGTGCAGTAGAAGAAGGAGGGAGGACTCAGAGCATATGGGACAAGTTCACACATGAATTCCCAGAAAGGACGAACATGGACAATGGAGATATTGCTGTTGACTTTTATCATCGTTACAAGGTTTGTGCATGTTATAATTATATATGCTATATAAAAATAATTAAGCTTGAAGGATTTTTCTTTTTCTTAGTGCAACAACTTATATTAATTATGTAATTATTGGACAAACCGAGCAGGAAGACATCAAGCTAATAAAGGAAATGAATATGGATACTTTCAGATTTTCCCTGTCGTGGTCAAGAATATTACCAAGTAAGTACAATTTTCTATTTTAATTCTACTTCTTTAGAACGAACTAATATTATTAATTAGATGTCCTACCTTTGTAGAATTGACTTGTATTATATATTTTTTCTTAACCTTTTTCGACTTTGTAACTTTTAGGTGGAAAGCTAAGTGATGGGGTCAATAAAGAAGGAGTTCAATTCTACAAGAATCTTATTGATGAACTTATCGAAAACGGTCAGAATCATATGCTTAACTAAATTATTTTGCAGATCAACTATTTCATTTAAGTTTAATTAAGTGAAATAGTTTAGTTTTGTGTTAGGGATTTTTTCATCACACTCTATATTATATACATGCAGGTATCAAACCTTTTGTAACAATTTATCATTGGGATATCCCTCAAGCTCTTGACGATGAGTATGGTAGCTTTTTAAGTCCTCGAATCATGTAAGTTAAAAAACTTAGATCCATCCACTATATATATACCATGTACTCATCCATTATATTTAAACCATGAGTATATATACATTTAAGAAGATGTTCTCTGACTTATATATTTGTTGGTTTTTCATACAGAGATGATTTTAGAAACTATGCCAGATTTTGTTTCCAAGAGTTTGGGGACAAGGTCAGTATGTGGACAACGTTCAACGAGCCATATGTTTATAGCGTTGCGGGTTATGATTCGGGCAATAAGGCAATGGGTCGATGTTCCAAATGGGTAAACAGTTTGTGTGTAGCTGGTGATTCGGGCACAGAGCCTTACTTAGTATCTCACCACCTTCTTCTTGCTCACGCTGGTGCTGTTCAAGAGTTCAGAAAATGTGACAAGGTACTAAAACATTCAAACTTCCACCTCAAAAATGAGTTGATGGAATTATATATTTTATTGTAAGAAAAATGATTTAAATGCAAAGAGGTGACATTTCTAATTGATTGTATTTGTGAAACAGATTTCAAAAGATGCCAAGATAGGCATAGTTTTGTCTCCTTATTGGTTCGAGCCATATGACATTGATTCTAATGCTGACAAAGAAGCAGTTGAAAGAGCTCTTGCTTTCAATATTGGTTGGTAAGTTGCCATCTGTTTAGCTAATTAGGTGTTATAAATTCATTATCTAACAATAAAGATATATATGATTGTCTAATCTTGGTTATCTTATATTTTTCTCTAGGCATCTCAGCCCTCTAGTTTTCGGAGACTATCCAAAAACAATAAAGACAAATGCTGGAAATAGATTGCCATCTTTCACCAAAGAGCAATCTATGATGGTTAAAAATTCATTTGATTTTATCGGAGTAAATTACTACACAGCTCGGTTTGTCGCTCACGATCTTCACAGTCATATTTCACGGCCTCGCTTCATGACCGACCAACATCTCCAATACAAATGTAAAGAACCAATAACATGATATTTATGCAAATTTGCGTTGCTTTCTAGTTTTGTTACCAAGAAAATACTAATAAAATTACATTTATCTCTTTTTTTTTTTATCAGTTACAAATCGTAGCGGCGACTACATCTCATCAGAATCGGTACGAACTTTAGTATCATGCAAAATGGTTTATTAAACTTTACAATATATTTTAAATAGTGCTTAACCATTCTTTTCCTTTTTTTTTCCTTAAATTTCAGGATGAGACCAAAATTCTCTGGTCATACCCTGAAGGGATACGGAAGATTCTTAATCACATCAAAAATACATACAACAATCCAACTATTTATATAACTGAAAACGGTAAGAACGTAAAAAACATAGTCTTGAACATTTCGATAATGTCTTACTAATCATCAGTAGTCTCCATATCTATTCACTTTGTTTAATATCAGTAATTAACCACATGAATATGTATAGGTTTCGATGACTACGACAATGGACAAGTGACACGTGAAGAGATATTAGAAGATACAAAGAGGATATACTACC